ACTTATGTTTCTATATATAATAAAGTTTCTACTTGAGCATTATTTAATAAAAAAAAAAAAAAAAAAAAAAAAAAAAAGTATTTTAATAATAAATATTTTAAAAAATATTATATGTATAGAATATAGAAGGTGTACATTTACAATATAGTTCTGATTTAGGACCAAATATTAGAGTTCAATTAGAGAGGATGTGTATTTATAGAGTGTACATTTATGGAGTTATGATTATATTTAGTTAAATATTAAAGTAATACCAATATCATTTGATGGATGTACATTAATACATGATTAACTGATATATGCAAATCATATAATTTGGTATGTGCCTATAGACCAGTCATTATTTGTATTATAATAGTTTAAAATCATATGACAGGTTATTTTGACCTGGATCAAAATAGAATTAGCTTATTTTTTAAGTTATTTTCTTTTTATTTATTCAAATCTTTTTATTATAATAAAAAAAACTTTCTTTTTCTCTATATATATGAAATATGAAGTTTCTTGGACAGTTTTTTCAAAGATGGACCAAACATAAGTGTGGGTCTTTCAGTCTATTTAAAAGTTCATCATAGAATATAAATTGTCTGAAAAACAGCTTCAAGGAAGAATAGTTTTATATATTTTTTTTTATTTCATAAAAGCTTTTTTGAAGACCTCAACCTAACAATCTTGACTAGTATCTTTGAAGTAATTATTTAGGAACTTAGGGTGCAAGACAACTGAGTGATGAAGAATACTAATGGCAATTTCTTTTATTAATAGCTTTTTTATCTAAATATATAATATGCCAAACTTTAGGCCTTAGAGCAACTTTCTTAGATAATTTGTGCCTGTTTATCAGAGCCTTGCTTAATATTTCATGTTATTGGACCATGTTATCCATGTTATCTATTGCATACATCCTACTTAGGATACAACTTTGGGTTGTTATAAACCTAATTATGGGATACACCGCTACGTGGCAACTAGGGAGAGTAAGCTAATTATTTAGCTAAAACTAAGTATTCATTTAGGGTAAGTGTTTAATTATATATTAGTTTTGTATTTATTATTAATACTGTAAATTTGTATTATAGTATTGTTGCAAATCGTGATATTACAAGCTATACGGTCTAATAAGTTATTTTTTTCTTTTTGTTTTTACTTTTTATTTATTCAGTACCTTTTAAAACTAATATTTTTATTTATTTATTTATTTTTTCAGATTAGTTTGTTGCCGTTTGTGTAAAGTTATTAACAACGATTGTGCGAAAATCTCAACAACATTTTGGTCGACTTTTCTAGAATCCTTGACAGCGTTTTTGACGATGTTCTTGTTGATGCTTTTGAGAATTCTTGACGACGTTTCTAGAGAGATATATTTGATGACGTATTCGAACATTACCGAAATCAAAAACTTATTGAATCGACCAAACAATTATTCGGGCAATTTTTTTACCAGGTGTCCAAAAAATAATAAAAACAGATGTAAAAAAAGATTTTTAAAAAAGGAATTTAAAATCCGGATCGACGGGTTATAAGAGGTCAGTTGGTAATATGAAATCAGAAAATATAAATTTGTATGGCCTTATGAGCATTAATAAATGGTAATTAGCATTTAGGTACTTATTACAACAGATCAATACCTGTTACTTTTCACTCGACAGAATAATAGAAAGCACGTAGACTTTGGCCACGTGCTCTTGCCATTAATATCATAAAAATTATTGTATGTTTCAAATTGTGGCTGATCTACTTTCGGTTTTATGAAAAGCCACAGTTCCATTACAACTTTCGCTTCCACTTAACAAGAACTCAATTATTCAACTTTGGTTTGTCACATGATATATGTGGAGGATTTCTATTGGTTGATATGTTAAATAAACCGAAAGTATAAGTTTATATGGCTTTGGTTAATTATATTTAACTTATATATTGCAATTTTGAAAATTAGTGCCTAATTCGCGCGCGTTTATATTACAGCAATGCCAACTTTCCTGGCAGATTAAATCAATTTTGATAATTCATGATTATTATATTATAAATAAACTATCAAATTTGACCCTTTTAGTAATGATAATTGAAATAAATAGCCTTTAAAACTTGATATTTTGCATTTAACCACATTAACCACATACAGATCTTGTATCACAGAGATTTCCCGTGACTTTTGAATTTTTTTTTTTTATTAAAAAAAAAGATTCGGATAATCAATTACATTAACATAACCAACATAATGAAGGATAATACAATGTCTAAAGAATTAAATACCGGGAAGGGAAAAAATAGATATAAGGTAATATATTAAGTCATTCACAATGCATATTTATGAATAAGATGTTAAGATAGTACGATCTACTTTATTTAGTATCAATCTTTCAATGCACTTGTAGAAAATTTGAAAATCGACATCACATACTCTGTGGTGAAAGAACATGAGCCTGAGGTATTTTATTCATGCTATTTTTCGACAGTATTTCGAAATTTAGAATATTTATCAATTTGATAATTATTTTGCAATAATTGATTTTGCGAATGCTGGTTATTATTTTTACCGTTAAAAATTGTTATAGGGGTTTGGATCATTCTTTTATGAAGCTCTGGAATCATGGAAGGAACTCAATTTGTCAACACACTTTACTATTTTTGTACGTGAAGTCTCGAAATATTGTCAGTCATTACCTCAAATAATATATCATAAAGAAAAGATAATTCAAATTCTGGAAAAACACCTTCAAGTCAAAGATAGTCTTGCTCTTGAACCATTACTAGAGTAAATATATTAATGTTATAATATGTGTACCTTTTTATTCAATAGAATTTAAATGTCCATTAATTTATTTATTTTTAGCCTTGTTACAAAACTGTCGAGAGATCTAGAAATAGATTTTTATCCATTTTTTGAGCGAATTGTTGGTGCAATAATACCTCTTACAAGGCTTCGAGATGTCAAGATCCTGGAGGTACTTATGAATCTTCACAATAAATAAATAAATATCGGTTTTCTTTTACCTTTCGACTAAAATTCATTTACTGACATTAAATTTGCATCAAATCTTTTAAAAGTGGACATTTAAATGCATAGCCTATTTATTTAAATACTTATTTAGCCAAATAATCGAGGATCTTTGTACAATATATCGGTAGGTGTATTTTTTAGAAAGTGGTGCTGTCTTTTTTATGATCTTTGTAACGCGAGAAATTCATATTCGATTAGACTCATGGCACCTTTGCTTGGCGAGGAATATCAAAAGCCTTACGTTCGTCGTTTCGCTGCTGAAGCATTTGCGTTCCTCCTACGCCATGCACATGCCGAAAATCTTGCACAAATAGTTAATTATATAGTTGATTCATTTAATGAATCTCCAACAGATATTTATTGTGAGGGATTGAGTATTTTATGCTATGAAGCTATTCAGGTACAATTTAAGGCGCTTATTATCTTATGGAAATAATTTAATATATTAGCTACTAACAAAGGCGTCCTATTTCCTTAAGTCACCGAACAATGAGCTTCACCCTAAAGCAACAATGCTATTAAAGGAATTACTGAACGCATCATATAAACATTCAAAAAATGATGTCAGCATTGGTAAAATCAAATTTTCTTAATTTAATCAATCTTGGAGGTTATTAATTATTTCTATTAATCTCTATCGATAATTATTTATCATCAGAAAACAATCCTGGTTATCGCATTCTTATTATGACTACTATTGCACTTATTCATCATACTAAATGTGAACATTTTGTGCCTGTGTGGAATCTATATTTGAGTGAGATAGAAAAAGAGCTCAATTATGTGATCCAGGATAACACAAATGAGAATCAATCTGTGCCTGATACAACAGTTGCCAAGTTTGGGATAAATTTATCTCTCGTTTATATATGCTTGACAGTTCGCAAAGGCAGTCGTGTCAATGGTATTTTTAACTTTATTATTTCACATACACATTTTTTCTTAGTAATACTTATGCTCAATGAATTATAATTATTAAAAAGATTTGAAACGTGTTTTCGATATAACAAAAAATCTGTCGCAATACGTTCTAACACCATCCTTAGTTGAGTCAAATGCCTGCAACTTTCTTCGTCAGCAATTTTTCAAATCATGTATATCATTGATGATGCTATCAAAATTGGAGGATGTTTTAGCTGGTGGAAAAGGCATTTTAAATAAAATTTTCGAATCTAATGTATGTGAACACTGATATTTTAATATCTAGTGCTTTTGCGATTTACTAAATATTATACGTGACTTTAATTATTATAGGACGTTGATGCGGTTTTGTCATTCTGTTTGTCTTTAGCAAACTTAAAATGGGAACATTACACGCAATTCATATTTCCACACATAGTCAGGTATATTTATGAAGAATATTTTCTATGTCATCACTTTTAAGATATTTGATTTTTATTTTTTGATTAACCGAAATAGGTTTTCATCAAATCATTGGAAAGTAGCTTCAACGAAAATTACCATTTTTCTTGCACATTTGCTATTTACAAAGACTATTTCGATATCTTCAGGTGCAGTTTCTGCATTTATTACAAAGGAAGGATTGATCAAGTTTCCCAGTGTCAGTACAGTAGTAAAATGTGTCGAAGGTGACCCTGGTTTAAAGACAAGCCAAAACATTTTAGATGAACTAATAAGCTTGATAACTCGTGATTGTGATTGGGCCTCAGAGGTGCATAAAACAAGCTTATTGGACATAGATTCGGTAGGTGTAATAAACTGGCTTTATTTATGTTTAAATTATTGTTATATTAAACTTTGTATTTAACTTTTGTATTATTATATTATTGAAGGAAAATACACAAATTCCGTTTTTAACTTTGGTCTCTGCAACACTCACTATAATAACGCATGTATCTGGGCCTTTTCTGAAAACGTTTAATTCACTATTATCTCTCATAAAGTCATTGGTTCAGTACCTTAAATTTGAAAATTCTTCAATAATGCCGTATCTGAAACGACCTTTGACTCATGGTTTTCCATGCGTGCTTGCACAAAATTTGTTGGGACAAGCAATTACAACTGTAACTAATTTATGCCGAATTTCTTCGGGGAGTAATAGAATAAATCATTTAATGGATATTTGGAATGTTATTGTTGATGATATTTTGATAGTGTATTGTACAAATGATGTTATTTTGAGATCTGTTGCGGAATATATGGAATATGTGCGGATAAGGTAATCCAATTAACTTGATCATTTTATATTATGATCACACCAGTAATTTACTTTGATATTTTTTTCTCTAGTAAGGAAAGTGCCTTTTTATTCGATACAAGGGCTCTTGAGAAAATATATCCCCACTTAAAGTGCAATATTGGCTCCTTTGTATATCATTGTCGGTTGTATTCGTTAAAAATCCTCATGCTTTTCGATCAATTTCCACTTAGAAGTGAAGAAACTTCTAAAAATGAACAAGAGCCCTGCGAAATATTCGCAATGGCTTATAAAGTTGAGGAAATTGAATCATCTATTGTGACATATCGTAACAAAACTATGATACTCCGAAAAATAAATGCATTGATATCTACTAAGCGAATACCAGAATTTTATTCAGAAGTCACACCATTGTTCTGCTTTGGTTTGGAAGCGTTCCATTGCATATTTATCATGATGTTCAGACTTTCGAATTTGTTATTTATACATTGTCTTCGTTGATTTATAAGGTTTACTGTCCATCAACTTTAGTGCTATCTGGACAGAAGCAATCAATGTGCTCGTGAATGTTGCACAGAATGATCCTCGTACTTTCTGGAGGTTGCTGCATGCTGAAATGTCGCGTCTTAACGAATTTAAATTCGCCTATTCTGGGTTTTCGACGAAGGCCCTTGAATTATATTTTAATCAAAATACGGATTTATTAACTACATCGACCAAATTTGGCGGGGTATCTTTTGATTGTCCTAATTTATCTAAATTCAACAAGGCAGTGAACGATGCGTATAAATTCATAATTAGCAACCTTGTCAACAGCTATATTACTCATTTTATTTCGGTAAATAAATAAATTTGTTCATTATTGCAAATTGCATTTGCATAAACCATCAACTCATTGCATTTTATATTTAGATTTGTGTTCCGGAAAATGTAAATTTCGACCATTGGAATTACTATAACCTCTTGATTAGGACGTTGACTGAAGTCCCTCACATTGCTGAGCAAAATTCTCGGCAGTTGGTTCCTTTTTTTTTAAAATATGCAGAAACTAAGTATAACGTAGCTGCTGAAGACTCTGTTGATGACGTAATGGTTGATAAAGAAAGTCAAGAAATTGGAGTGACAATACTTTCTTCACAAGATAGTAAATCGTGTGAGATAATGGAAGCTGACAATGAAATGAAAGATGATTTAGCCATGATAGCTGAACAATCTTCAAAGGAAATCAGATCTAAGATGTTACTTTATCTAAAGTTATTTTCGAAATTCAAGAATCCACGTTCAGTCTACAAGTCTACAGAACTACAAAGTATTTATTTGCGTCTATTAATGAAAGGAGACATCAAAATACAAGGTCTTGCATTAGAATGTTTGTTTACATGGAAGGTCAAGGGCGTCATTCCTTATGAAAGTAATCTTCGTAACCTTGTTGATGAAGCAAAGTTTAGAGATGAATTATCAACATTTTCACTTAACATAGAAAATGGCTCAATAGAATTTGAACATAGGGCTGAAGTAATGCCTATTATAATACGTATTTTATATGGTCGAGTAATTGCAAGAAGGGGTAAATCTTCATCAAAGACTGGAATGGGTGCTAGAAGAATAGCTGTTCTGTCTGCATTGGTCAACTGTAGTCAATCCGAGCTAGAACTTCTTGTTAATTTACTCTTAGAACCTTTTACAGTCATTCGTCAACAGCCAGACATTATTGATAATGAATTCAAGTTTGTACCGAATATAGTTGTTGATAAAATTGTTCCTTATCGAAAACAGCTTGGATACCTGAATTTTTTAGACGATTGCTTGAAGCAATTGGGGACTTATTTATTTCCTTTTATTTCGGATATGCTCAAAGTCGTTTTGTATATGGTTAACAGTGCACAAAGGAATTTAATGGTAGAAAATGAAATGCAAAAAGATCCGCTAGATAATAATATAATAATTGATGGTATTGAAACAGTTAATGATATAAAAGATCGTAAACAACAATTTAAAATTATTAGACAACTTGGCTTAAAAAGAATTAATGAATTTTTCAAGATTCGTTCATCTTTTAATTATCAACCTTACATTAATGCAATGTTCAGCTCATTTATTTCATTAAGAATCCCTAAACTGAACATTGAAAATACCCAAGCACCTTCTGCATTGATGGAATTGTTCTTCACATGGGCCTCAAACAAAGATTATTTACTATATTTAGTTGATTACAATAAAGAAGTATTGCCAAAAATATTTGCATGTTTATCTGCGAAAAGAGTTCGAGCATCAGTTGTTTCGATGGTTTTGGATATTATAGAACATATATTGAAACTTTGTGACAATGAAATGGACATTGATGATGACCTTACACAGACGGAAAATATGAATTTAATCAATAGAGTGATACGTCCCAACATTTCTTCTTTATTAGATAACCTAGAATATGGGCTATTACAATATAGTCAAAGTGGTACATTTGGTAGAGATACATTTTCTAAGCGAGAAGTTTCAATCCTTTCAAAGATTGCGGAATATGTTAATAATGGAAAGCAAGCCGAAAAATTAGTGGATTTATTACTTCCATATCTTCGAAAGTTACCTCGATTTGTTGCCGAACAAACAAAAGCTCATATTTTGAGAATAATTACAAAATTTTTACATGTCATTCCAGGATTTGAACCATCCAATGAATTATTTGCAAAATATTATGATCATATTTCTAAGGAGTTTTCTATGCTTCGCTCGCGAGAATGCCGCGATCTTTTGATTGAAGTCCTCGAAGAATTTTCCAAATTAGAAAATACTTTACAGGAAATAGTGGAACTTGTTAAAGATATTAATTCATTCTCGACTGTCAGATTAAATGAACCGGACTTTGAACGACGATTAGATGCTTTTAATCGTATTAACCAAAAATCCTATAAAATATTTTCACCGATGCAATGGTTGCCATTGTTGTATAATTGCATTTTCTTTATTCAAGATCCAGAAGAACTTTCAATTCGGAATAATTCATCATATTGCGTTATTCGCTTTATTGATAGTTTTGTTGAACATCATAATAATGTCGAGTTAAATGATGTTTCCGCTTCTTCAGACGTTCGTAGCAAATTTCAGAATATCTTGACTAAAATTATCTATCCTGCAATCAAAAAAGGCGTTAAACTACCGATAGAAGTAGTTCGTATGGAATTTCTTACAATACTATGTTACATGATTAAGAAATGTTCAATGTTGCCTCAATTTGCTGATATGTCCTGTTTGTTATTCGATGATGAAGAGGCAAACTTTTTCAATAATATTTATCATATCCAAATACATCGTCGCATACGTGCGCTCAAAAGGTTTTCTAATGAATGCGCCATGGGAAAGTTGAAAAGTTCCAATCTAGTGCAAATATTTTTACCACTTTTAGGACATTTCATTTTTGAATCAGATCGGATTAACGATCATATGTTAATTAATGAAACTATTTCATCGATTGGTGTTATTACTAGTCAACTTAAATGGGGTCAATATTATGCTCATCTAAAACAGTACATGAAACTAATTTCTCGGAAGTCAATAATAGAAAAAATACTAATTAGGACCATTATAACTATTTTTGATAATTTTCATTTCGATGTTTCTGAGAGTGTAGGTGAAGATTCGCAATCTCAATCATCATATAAATCGATTGAACCTGAAAGTGACAGTAAAAGCGAAAAATGCGATGTGTCTCAACCAAAAGAGGATGATATTATAACTGAAGATATTGAAGAGGAAGATGATGAATCAAACAGACAAGAGGAGTCATCGAATATTAATATACCAAGTGATGAAACAGCAGGGAAAGTTTTGTCTCAACGTATTCATGATACTATAATACGCCAAATACTGCCTGAATTGAAATCATATTTGTCCAAATGTAATGATGATAATATTACGGTACGAATACCTGTAGCACTGGCGATCACGAAATTATTAAAAGCTTTGCCTGAGGCGTCACTTCGTCTCCATTTACCAGGGTTACTCACTACATTATGTCAAATATTAAGAAGTCGTAGTCAAGATACTCGCGATGTTACAAGAGACACCATTGTTAAAATTTCAAATCTCATTGGGCCTATGTATTTTTCATTTATCGTAAAAGAATTGCAAGGCGCACTTACACGAGGTTATCAAATGCATGTCCTTGGATTTACATTACATTCTCTCTTGTTAAATTTAGCTCCAAACTTAACAATTGGAGACATTGATTATTGTCTTCAACTAATTGTGGATATCATTATCAATGATATGTTTGGCTATGTTGCGGAAGAGAAAGATGCAGAGGAAATAACGGGTAAATTAAAGGAAATGAAGGCTAACAAAGGTTTTGGAACGTTTGAGATCCTTGCAAAAATTATTCATATCAAGAATATCGGTATTCTATTGATGCCACTTAAAGATGTTATGCGAGAAACGCAAAGTTCAAAGATCTTGCGGAAAGTTGAAGAAACATTGCAAAGAGTAGCAATTGGGTTGAATAATAATCCTGAATTCGAGATAAAAGAAATTATAACATTATGTAAAGGACTTGTATCACAGAATCTTGATATATTAAAATCAGAACCGAAGGTCAAGAATGTTAAAACAAATTTAGAGGTGAACTTTGCAGTGCAATTGAAACGTGATATCACAGAACCAGTAGATCATTTTGACACAAATTCATATCTGTTTGTGCAATTTGGGTTGACCATATTTTTATCCGCTCTTAAACATGAAAAGTTTGATATAAAATCTGAGGAACAACTTTCTATGTTAGATCAATTCGTGAATATAGTAGGAAATGCCATGTATTCCAAGCATTTGAGCATCAACATTCTTGCTATCAAGATAATGCACATATTGTGTAATCTGAAACTTAAGTCCTTGAATGATGCTCTACCTGTCATTGTGAAGCAAACATTTGTTTTGATAAGAACATCGGACTCTACGAATTCTGAACTTGTACAAACTTGCTTCAAATTGCTTACAATTATAATGCGCGTTAGTAATCAGGTTGAAATTAAAGAGAATCAATTGACCTTCTTAATTAATTTGATTAGACCTGACCTTGAAGAGCCCCAACGACAAAATACGACATTCTCATTAATTAAAGCCATAATTTCACGTAAATTAGTGGTTCCAGAGATTTATGATTTAATGCAAACAATTTCCGAAATAATGATTACAAATCAAGCTTCACAAACATGTGACCTTTCGAGACAAGTTTTATTCCAATTCTTATTGGATTATCCGCAAGGACGTGGGCGCCTCAAGAATCAAATAAACTTTTTAATTAAAAATCTCGATTATATCTTTGAGAGTGGTAGGAAATCAGCAATGGAGATGCTAAGTTTAATAATTACTAAATTTGGAGATGAAATCTTGATGGAATATGCAGAAATGTTTTTCATAGCTTTATCTATGTCATTAGTTAATGACGAATCTAACAAATGCCGAGAAATAGCAGGTGTCTTGATTAAGGTATTAATTAAAAGAATGGATGAACAAAGATTAAAAAATACCTATATCTTGTTGGGTAAATGGGTTTCTCAACCCGAAAAAAAGTGTTTGCAACGAATGGCAGTACAAATTTATGGACTTGTAATTGAGGCTTTTGAAGACAGATTTAAGAAACACATTCCAGAATTATTAAATATTTTGGATCTAGCTCTTCAATCAAGTTCACAAGTCATGGAACAGCTTGTGGATTCATCAAATGATGCGAGCGATAATCAAGAAGACATGATGGTGGATGTTGATTGGGAGATCGGATATTATGCATTAAATACGTTCACTAAACTTATTAAAGCTTTCCCATCTGTTATTTATCTTGAAGAATGCAATAATATATGGATACTGATTGAAAGGCATATTCTCCATTCGCATTCTTGGATAAGACTAGCATCAAGCAGACTTTTTGGATCATACTTTGCTAATATTGATCCCGAGACTATGATTGCTACAGGGTCAGATAAAAGAAATGATTGTTTGACAAAAGATCGGCTGAGAAAATTGGCCACATCATTTTGTACACAATTGAAAAGTGAACATTTGGGACAAGAACTTGCAATACAAATTGTGAAAAACTTGTTTTTCATTGGAAAATGTTTTTATTATTTATCTCCCGATGAGGATAAAGTAGACAATTCATTTACCAAAGAAAAGGATGGAAATCATAATGAAGAATCTATATCTGAAGATTTAGATAATGAAAACCATGACAATATAGAAGCAGATGATGTGGATGATGCGGGTGATGCGAGTGATACAGATGATGAAAAACAAAACATGCAGCAGATTATTAGTAACCAAACAAGTGATAGCAGTACGGTAAAGACATCACTGATTTGGTTATTCAAAAAATTATCATATCAGGCAAGGTTTTCTTCTTCCAATAACGAAGATATTGACCATCAGGTATGTATAAATAGCAGAGAAGTCTTTTTATGATGTAAAACTTAAATTTATTTCTTCGTTCGTTTATTTATAGAGAAAAAGTATATATCAATGGTTTGCTGCAATGGTCACATACATGTCACCGAACGACTTGGTGCTTCCTTATCTCTTACACATAATCTCACCTATATATCGCTTAATAAACAACGAGACAACCAAAGGTCAAGATATAGGTAAATTATTCATAATAAATTGATTGATATTATTATGGATCATAAAGTAGTTGGCCATTTTAATGTATTTATTTTCATGATAGATAATCTTAAACTGCTGGGAAAAGAAGTGCTCGATTTGGTACATAAACGTATTGGTACCACACAATACCATAATGCGTATAATAAAGTAAGACAGCAAATAGAGGAAGTGAGAAGGGAAAGGAAACATCAAAGAGTCATTAAGGTAAATTCATCAATTTGCTTTTAATGATATTTTTAATTAATTTATTTGATTAATATGCTAGATGGGAGAATTTAATAATAATTATAATAAATATTTTCTAGGCTATCGTTGATCCAGAATCTGCAGCGAAACGAAAAATACAAAAGAATGAAATGAAAAAACAAAATCGAAAACGAAAAAATAAAGAATTTGCTAAGAAAAAATTGAGATATGGCGTAACTAAAAAGAGAAAGATTTCACATTAGTATTAATAAAAAATTATATTTGCTGATACATAGAACATTTCATGATAGAATGAAAAAGACATGTTCCGAGACCATCCGGATATTTATTATAAAATTCTTACTTTTACATCTAAGGCCACACAAATTGAATTACTTGGTTTTCATAACATGAAATTTTCAAACAGACCCGGCCGTCCGGTTTTTTTTTACAAAAATTTTTTATAAAGCGGTTTAAAGCCCAGTTATTAAAACATATAAAAAAATGTTTCTTATAAGCTTTCAATTACAGCTGTTTTCATAGATTCTGAAAATCTGTCAAAAATTGACCGACCGAATATTTGCCGATTCGATAAGTTTTGTTTCGGAAACAAAACTTAGTCTGTCAATTTTTGACAGATTTTCAGAATTTATGAAAACAGTTGTAATTAATTTTGCATGGCCTAATTACTTGATTAAGTGGTAGATCGCAGTTGAAGAGTATAAATTTCATAGTAAAAGTCGGCGAAGAATTACTATTACTTTCATATAATGTTGGAATGCTGACATTATGTAAAAATCATATAGTTATAAAGGAGAAAATGCCAATAGCTTGCGATCTACCATACAAATTTGAATAATTCTACTATTATTAGAACCGTAGTAACTTGTTCTATAATCTTTGTTAGAAACTCAAGAAAGACTTGTGGTATAAAAAAACTTTTCATTGTAAGTTAGCTACATTCCAACCTTATAGAAAAATCATATTAACTTCCAGTAATTTTTATTATCGTTAACCGCGATTTATCTCTTAAAATACTTGGCGTTCTTAATTATTATTAAAATTTTGGTCTACATTATTATATCGTCTTCTGCGTCATTCTGCTATAAAATTTCTATTGAATTGTTGATTTAAAGATTCATATACTAATAATGGAAGTGTCATTTGCCGTTTAACGCGTCAGATCAGGAACGTCGATGTTACACGACTCAGTATTGTCAATGGACATGAATTTGAACATTTTTGAATAAAAATTAAAATTACTCACCATTTTATTAAGATAATTCTAAGTTAAAAATATTTTTTAAAAAATTCTATTAATTATTAGAGCTTGGGCATTGGACATAATCAAAAAAAAGCCTTGGACAGTGAAAAATGTACAACACTGACACGACTATCCTTCACTCACATAAATAAATTATTTTACAATATCAGATCATTCTGTTATGATTATAATCCAATACCATTTTATTAGGATCCCGGATAATAATATTTAATAAAGGTATGATTATTAAACTGGACAAGCAATTTAAATATTATAAAATCGGAATTATCTATTTTTTATATATAAAAATATAAAAATTCCGTCTTACATATTTGTTGCTTTTTTTCTATGCTACAATTCTGTTAAAACGTAGATAGAGTTTAAAGTTTATATGTAACTAAAAATTTGACGTTTAATATATATAAAATAATTTATACAGTTCACCTCGTTAATATCAACCCATTTGGATCGGGTTTAAATTATATTGATACGTAGTGATATTAATGAGAAATCATATTAAAATTGATATGTATTGGGAATTTTGATATACGAAAAGCATCGCATTACACATTCCCAGTTTTGGACTATGCCGGCAAAATATTTTAGGCCGGAAGTGATCATTTATTTATAAAGAAATTAAAATGACATCAGTTAGCAGCACATGAGTAATGGGCCGGTGATGGCCAGAACGGCGATGACATCCCGAAAAAATTTGCAACATCATTTGCGCTGGGAGTCGCCGTAGGATTTGACAGCTGGTGGTTTCCCGCCTTCCGAAGCAGGCCGGAGAGACGGGTGAGTAGAGAAATGGCAGAATCACGTGGCATCCAATTGGGTGGGCAGGTGGGTCGCGAATCGTTCATTCTGGGTTTTGCAGCGGGAAGTTCGTTTTCTTGTTATTACTCTGTACATTGCTGACATGTGTTGCTGCGTTGTTCGCATATGCTTCTCAACCTTCAATCAATTGCCGCATAAAGGAGTCTGCCAGGTGCGTGGCTTGACTGTGTGTCACCTCGCTTCTCGATCACGTGATTCAACATCACTCTGCATTAAAATTATTAAAAATCTGTCCTGTGGCTTAGGTTGATATTAACGAGGATCACCTGTATACTTGATTATATAATCTCAAAATTTGACGCTTTAAAAAAAAATTTTGAAATGTTTTTTGCTGTCTGGTACTGTAGTATAATAATTAATGATCTAATTTTGTTTAAAGATAGAGCAAATTGTATACTTTAATGTAATAGAGCCATTTTTTCGATTTATACTATTTTATAAGTAGTAAATTCTTTAACAATGTAAAATAAACAAACATAAAACTAATGAGATCTGTAAAACTGAGCCTATTATTGAAAAGAGCATAATATATAGTTATTAAGCGTGTAGTGAACAATAAGTATACATTATTTGTCAAAGTTTTGACGGATAATCAATAACTGAAAATCTATCCGTCAAAAATTGTCTAAGATTTGTTATAAGACTATAGTTGGTGGTAGAATTACTGAATTACGGCATTACGGCATTCTACCATATGGTAGAATTAATTACGGCATAGCATCTAATTGCCGTAATTATGTGGCAGAACTAAAATTCAGAAAATTGACCAAAATTCTGGGTCGGTATACATCGGTATTACTTAATATGACCTGTTTCCGATGAATTCTGATCTGTATTTATAATTACGGCAAAAAATACGGCACGTGCCGTAATTAGATAATTTTCAAAAATTAATTCTACCACCAACTATATCTTTGACGAATAATGCAGTTATTGGTTCATTTACACGCCTAGTAACGGTATTTTCCGTCTGTCTACGACGATCTGAATATAACGCTCTTATGTTATTGTGATCAGTAAATAAAAAATAAACAGATTATTGATTGATGCAGATCATAGTAGACTGAAGGATAATAAAGGTTATCGATTAAAAAAAAAATGATATAAAAGCCATATTCTTCGTCAAAAAGTGTACCTTTAGTCTAGGTTGGCAATGGACCAAAATGTGACTTAGAAGATGCCAATGGACAATGTTCATGACATTTCTCTCAGAACCCATTATAGTCCATTGCCAACCCTGCCTTTAGTAGTTATTTTAAAAAAATAGACGGTATATTGCACTAATAAAGAAAGCAACCCTGTATAGTTAATTTTACGAAACTTTCAAAATTATTAATTAATTTTAAAGTTAACTTTCTACCTTTTTTTTAAAGACAGAAATAATAGTTTTATTTGTATATTTTATATTCCAAAAAGTATTTTAAAGTGCATAAATAAGTTATTTAGCTAATTGATTTATATTAGCCAATTAGACAAATTTTAATCTATAAGTTTGCATTATCCAATGCTAATTTGTGTTCTTCTATGGTTTATATAATATTTTACAAATCTTTTGACCTTTCAATTTTCTTAATATGACCATAGTTACAAGTATTTTAATCTAATTAGCAGTAAGTAGTTGCTATTTCATAGATCAATTTTTTTCAAAATTATTATTAGTAAAATTTTGAACTCTTGTTTTTTATTTAGAAAGTACAACTTAACCACTCTACTAAGTTACCACACTTCATTATAACAAATATGTATAACTATATATATATATATTCTTGTAGTAAGATATCTTAATAAATTAAAATCTTGATATATCACTTTGGCTTTAAAGCTTTATTATATTAAGGTTATACTGTATTAAGAAAAGCAAAATAGTTTAAATTTTCTTGGATAACACAAAAATCACCAATTATAATTAATCAAAATTATTGTTTTTATATTTTTAGATATTTAAATCAGCGTAAATCATATAATAATATATAATTTACTATATAATTACTATAAAATAATCTATATTGCTCTTTATTCTTAAACACCATAAGGGTAATTTATAATTGCTAGATTTTAAACTGTTGTAATTTTTTAAAAAATTACAAATTTCTTTTTTAAATTTGTTGTTATAATAAAAAGCTATAAAGAGATTTTCATTTTAAAAAAGGTACAGAAATTTAACATTTACTATATATAAAATCAGAATATCTTACCCTGTTTCATACTGTAGTATTTGTCTTTCACTCACGTTAATGCGTTTTGTAATTGTTGATATTGTAAACCCTAGCATTAATTTACTTTATTAAGCCAATGAAGACAACCGTCCTTTCACTTGTAAAAAAAAATAAAAATAAAAATACGGCATTTAGTTTTTAGAAGTGCGTCTATATTAATTGTGCAAAATAATTCTATAACTCTGAATCCAAGTTCTTGATTAAAAAGACCAATATTTTACTATATATAGCAATGAAGGTTCCATATAAGTTTCAGTCTCAAAGAACCGTTTATTATTTAATATCGTATGAGTGAGTTTGGTCCTGTGCCAAAATTAACACCAGATTCGGTAACTTAACCCAACTTAAATGTTTAGGTAACTTGGAAATTTTGGTAATTTGCAATTCACCGCTAAATAGATAACTGATAATACACAAATATATATACAGATAATTCTCGATATAAGAAACCTTTGATATAAGAAAGAAACTCTTTGATGCACGATTTTATAAGTTCCAATTTAAATTTGTAATAAAAAGCCTTCAGTATAAGACAATCTCGATATAAGAAAGATTTTGACTGGACCCGGTAACTTTATATTAAGAGTCACTTGTACTAAAGATTGTAATACAGAACCCAATTATCTATACTTGTCCTTCTGGCTATTAAAACGAAAAATACGTTTAGAAACTCAAAATTTTAAACCTGAAAGAAAAAAAGATAAATAAATAAATATATGCATAATGAATATTAATAAAGAAACTTTATATTACTGTTTAATTGCATCTTTAATTTTCTTTGCGGCAGGACTAATTTTAATTACTTATTTCAGCTTTCCGTTTTTTTCACATGTCTCCTCTTCTACTTCTACAGCGAAAACCATTGCTCCTCATTCTATTATTTCTACTTTCCAAACACATAAAGTTACAAATACTAATCCTAGCAAAACTCAACTCCCCACTTCTGAGAATATTACCTTGGCAGTCTCTACTTATTTTACCTTTGTATCTCTCTCTACACCTTTTATCACAACAAAAATCACCACATCTTATTTTACGAAACTTTCTTCTATCCTTTGCATTTCTACTCCCAATATAGAACCCCCTCCTCCAGCTAATAATCCAGCCAATCCTCCAGCCAATCCTCCAGCTAATAATCCAGCCAATCCTCCAGCTAATAATCCAGCTAATCCTCCAGCGGCTGATCCAGCTAATCCTCCAGCGGCTGCCCCAGCAGCTACCAATGTCCACCCTCAATCTATTACTCTCCCAGCGGCTACCGCTGCACCCCCAGCTAGCATTAGTCTCCCAACTACTCCTTCACTTACTCCCCCAACCCCTTTACCTTCCACAGCTCCTTCTCCAACCTCCGAATCTACTGCTGGGGCAGGTAGCACTTTGATATTCATATTATCGGTTTTTACAGGACTTTCTTTTGTTAGTTCCGCTATTTGCACCTTTATTCTTTGCCGTGTTCATATACTAAATCGGGTAAATACAATAAAAAATCGAGAGCGAGAGAACCGATGTTTAGAGGATTGAATAACATGCGAATATATAGGAATTAACACAATAGCAACAGGGGATAATCTTAACATGACACTTAACATTTTACATTTCAGTTATGTCAGTATTGTCAATTAACAGCTTTGGACATGAGTTTGGACATTTTTGAACAAAAATATAAATTAAAATTACTCAATTTTATTAAGATAATCTATATACTTTTCTAAGTAAAAAATATTCAAGATAAGAAAATATATAATCATATATTTTTTAGACAAATTTATTAATTATTAGAGCTTGGACATGCTTAGGGCACTCTTGGACACTTGGACATGGTCAAAAAACCCTTGGACAGTATATGTACGTTAGTCGACGTTAACACGTTTAAAAAGTTGGGTTTGATTCGGTTTGAGCCGAGCTTCAATGCCAATATTCCCTTAATAAATAAAGATTGGCTTGCGTACCTAATACGTAGGTATTACCAACCTAAAAAATTTCTCTGGCCAATAAAATTTCAAGGTCAGGTGCTACACAGAAAAAACGCAAAAAAATCCAAACAAACCAAAAAATCGGTCATAATTCAACATTTTACTTACAAAACCGCTTCTGCGCATTAACAAAAAGTTTTCCTTGCAAAAGTTTGGTATCAGAAAAACTCTTACTAACCTAATCAATAGCAAAATCTAACCCTAATCTAGCAGCGAACTTTTTTAGGTTGGTAACACTAGGACAGTTTGATTATACTAAGCATTATTGAGTCACAGGACTTTCTTAATTGGCTTTAACGCTAACTCTAATAAACGCCGATTATAACCGATTAAGCTGATTATATCGATATGTTATTAGAACTGGTTGTATGACAATCGGCTAGAACCGGTTAAAATATACTACTAAATGAAGTGCTATCGCTATACATATCGATATTTAATCAGTTACATATCAAATCTTTTTCTCTTCAATATTCTAGTCATAATGTCTGACTTAAAGAGTGAACAAAACGAAGATAACTCCTTTAATTTTAATGGTTCGAACGGCCAAGAGTTTCTCAATAAACCTGAACCTTCTGAGGTAGGTTCAAATCCAGAAGAACCTCAACAATCAAGCGGGGGTCCTATAAGGAGAAAAAATAATGCAAAATCTCCTATGGACGAGTTTTTTGAACGAACAAAAGAATCTCAAACTTGTAAAATATGTAAAAAAATGTATGCTGGAATTGGTGAAACCTCCACTGGTACTTTAAAAACTCACCTACGAAGGAATCATCAATCCGAATTTGAACGAGGCGCTCAACAGACTGACTTTGAACGAAAAACCCGAACAACTTTAAATTTTCGAAGAGTAACTCCGTATACTCGACAAGATAATTTTGAACGAAGTAGATCTTTGATTAATTGGATAGTATCAACAATGCAGCCTTTCTCTGTGGTCGAAGATGAGTCTTTTATCGAAATGATAAAAAAATTTGATCCACATTATCATGTGCCACGAAAGCAGTATATAAAATCCCATGTGATTAAAAGGTTTCAAAACCGTCGTGAAAGATTACATCATGATCTAGAAAATATTAAGAGTAGGATATCTTTGACTGGTGACTTGTGGACTTTGGATAACAATCAGTGCGCATTTTTTGGTGTCACTCTTCATTACATTGATGATGACTGGATATTTAAACGTTTCTTATTAGATATAATTCCATTCCGTGACTCTCATTCCGGTGCAAATATTGTTCAATCTTTATCCAGTTTATTAACTGAATTGGATCTTTCCTCAAAAATACTAGCATTGACAACAAACAATGCTCTGCCCACCATTGTTTTTGGTCATGAAATGGAATTGGAAATGAATAAAGGGTTCAATAATCTAGGTTTTTCGCACTATCGTTGTGGTTCCCACGTTCTTAATATTGCTGTACAGTATGGACTTCAAGTTCACAATAATTCAATTGAAAAAGTTCGAAAATTTATAAACAAAGTCAGGAGCTCTAATCTATTGATGGAGGATTTACGTCGTATATTCGAAGATCAGAGCATACCGTTTACTATTCCACAAACTGATGTAGAATCTCAATGGAGATCAACGTACTTGATGATTGAAAAGGTGAAACAAATCCAAATACAAGTGAACCTACTTGTCTTACAACATCAGGATGAATTTATCGATTCATACCCTGATGAAGATGACTGGTTAAATATAAATGTAAGTAGCTTCTATTTATAATCTTGTATATTTATGTTTTTATATGTTCATTTCTATTTATTAATATCAATTGTTATTTAAAATTTTATTCAGGAATTGCTTACTGTCCTATCCCCATTTTATTCTGCTACTTTAACGCTTTCTTCATCTGTATATCCAACAACGGGCGATTTTCAACTTACTTTATGGATTTTGAGACAACATTTACAGCATGAAATATCAGTAAATGCTACTCGGTATATTGTGGCTGATTCTATACTTCGTACCTTGGACGAATATTGGTCAATTATCGATGAGACTTCAAAAATTGCATCTGTGTTGGATCCGCGCACAAAATGCTCAATTTTTCAACAAGGATCAGAAACTGATAACGTTATAAATTCTATTCGGGCTAGGATGGCTTCTTACACACCACCTTTAGATATTCCTGAAAATTCCAATTCTATCATTACATCCACATCAGATCCAACACTCTTATCATCATATCATTCTCCAACGACGTTTAATAGACTTGATGCTCGTGCACATCTTCGATCTCTTACAAATCAATTCCTTCCGACTACGCAACCTATCACAAGCAACGAATTAGAACAATATCTTTCTTTACCCAATGGAGAGGACTGTGAACCCTTGTTATGGTGGAAAGCCCACAAAAAGAAGTTTCCTGTTCTTGCAGCGATGGCGCGAGACTATCTTACGATTCAGGCATCAAGTATTCCTTGCGAACAAGCCTTTTCTATTTCCAATTCAACTATTTATAAATCACGCGGTAAGCTGAATCTAGAGATTGCCCGACCACTTTTGTGTTTACATAGTTGGATAGTTGAAAAGATTGGAGAAAACGGGGGTACGGATGATCAAGCAGGTAGTGATGATGATAGCAATTTAAAAGTGGAAGTGAAAACAGATAACAGTGAAAAATGAGGATTTATATTTGAACCATTCTTTTTTTTTCCTTTTAGTAATTTGGCTTTTTTTCTTTTCCTTTAATTCGTTGATTCGAACTTTTTTTTTTAAATTAAAAAATCAAATATTGGCAAATGGGTTGTAAAACGTCGATCAATGTTTATTTAACATATGGCAAATTTATCCATCTGTTTTAAACATGAAAGTACCGTACTAACCTATTATTATATTGACAAGACCGTCTATCATTCGTCTAATACAAAGCTTATAAACCTACTAACCTACAAAAAATAATTTTAAAGGTTATATAGGTTTAAAATCGTAACCTACGATTTTACTAGAATTACTGAATAACAGATTAGCATAAAATAATCCATTATTTTCAAACATTCCTTAAAATCATCTAATGAAAAGGCTAAATATGAATTCCGCCAAACTAAACCTGTAAGTGTAAATTTAAATTTACACCAGTGTTGCGAGCTTTTGCTTCCAGCGGGATTTTGTAATCTTCAAATGGGATTTTCAATTAGTAAAAGTTCCATTGGCTTCTAAGCGGGCTTTCGGTGTGCTCCCAGTAGCAACGTTATTTACGCTGCACCGGTAAAATTGATAACGCGCCTATAAACACAAAGACAATATCATGCACGTATTATAAAATCTTACCAAATAATCAATAGTGTCGAAATTATTAGAACATTGATTGTAAAGCGCTTCAATTACATTCTTCGGATTTAAAATTTATTAGTGAAAACTTAAATTCTCAAGTTTTTAACTTGGAAATGAATAAAATCTTTAATAATGTTATAAATTTAATTAAAAGTTTAATTTGATGAAGAATGAGAATATAGTGATTCACAAGAAATTAAACCAATAGCATTAAAAGTCAAAGTCCTGTATTAAAATTGAATGGCTAACGCTTTAAGTAATGTATACGTATGAACTATTAAAACTAACCTATATTAGTAAAATGAACCATGTAATGTAAAGAAATCAAAACGATGCTTATGAATATACTAATAACAAAATTAATCGGATAAATTATAAAAATCATAAGAATCTTCAGGAGTAGAGTGATTCATTGAACATGTTTCTTCTTCAGATGATGTCGATTCTTCAGATGAAGTTGACTTTTCGGATGTCGATTCTTCAAGTGAAACCGATTGTTCGGATGATGTTGATTCTTCAAATGATAATGCCGATCCTTCAGTTGTATCGTTTTCATCAGATGTTGATTGTTCTTCATCGGATGAACCAGAAGCAAAACCATCTAAAGGATTAGTTTCATCGGATGAATCAGAAGCAAAACCATCTAAAGGATTGGTTTCATCGGATGAATCAGAAGTAAAACCATCTAAAGGATTAGTTTCATCGGTCGTGATAACATGTTCATCCTCAGATGTATCACCAAAATACTCTCGTAGCAACGCTTCAGATGATTCAGTATCTTCTTGTTCTTCTGAATCTAATGTGGAAATATCATCATCACCATAGGATTCATTTTCATCTTCAGATGAATCAGATACAACAAATTCAACCCCTTCGTATAACGCACAAGTTCTTAAATGTTCACTTTTTTTCCAGTCTCCTAAGCATCTTCAGAAATGATAACAATAGTAATTTCTCCTAAAGACAATTTGTCTTAAAAAAAGTAAAAATACTCACAACCAACAAAATTCCATAAGACAACTCTCAATTTTACATTTTACGTGATCGCACCCATCAATTTTTTGAATATGAATTCCACATTTTGGGCAAGGCTTAGTGTTTTTTTCTAGGTAAATGCGGGATTCTGTATCAACCTTACCAATTTTAATATCATATTCCTGACAAGTTAAACCTTCATGCCAAGGCGAATTATGCGTGTAACAAGTCGCTTTTCCACAGCATTCACAAACCATCTTGGGTGCCTGATCTTTTTTAAAATTAAATATATAAATCTATTAATGTTAAATTATGGTTTAAAGGATTAATCTCAGATATATTTAATAAATTATTTGCCTCCTCCAATATGGATTTGTCCTGATACACATTCGGATCCACCTTGACACCAGCGAAAACCAGGATCGGATTGAAGAGCAAGTCTTAAACACACGTCATCAAATCTACAAGATAAATTAACACTATTAAGGCAACTTCGGAGAATTTTGCAACAATTAAGATTATAAAAATATCAAATTACTTTTGAAAAAGTTCTCGAGAAACAACACGTTTAACATCTTGATACTCCATCGTATTATCACATTCATCAACAAGACATTTGATCAATGTGCTTTTTTGAGTTAATTGAATATTCACATATTTATTAATACAACCTTGACAAGTAGATGGTTCATGAGCACATTGAGTTGTCATATTCAATATATTGTCTGTTTTATCACAACAAATAGCACACTCGAGACTTCTACAAGTCTTTGCCATTTTCGATAGTAAAGAGATACGCTGCTACGGATCTGTTTAATGCTTAAGTATCAATTCCTATTTTCAAGTTGAGGCCCTTTCATCAATCTTTATTAACGAAGCTAAGTATAATTAAATTGCTCGATGTAAAGGAAAGAAAGATTCGGTGATTTCTAAAGATCTGATCCAAACCACGTCTGCACACACCACGGATGCAGATCATATTTATATTTAAATAAAAAACGTGATTATCCGCAGCAAATATCCGTACAATACGTCGATATTTCAAAACTTTACGAGTGTTTAACACTATAATACAAATATTCACATTGTGTTCAAAGTAAAATGCTTATCCTCGTGCAAGTCACGAGTTACTGTACTATTATACTTGTTACGCTAAGTTGATCACATTTAGAAACTTCGTCCGAAACGCGAAATATTCATTACCTGAAACCTTATCCGAAACTCAAAATCTTTCCAATTGCATAAGATTGAATTTTGCATTACTAATATTTGTATATATGAAGACACAGTATTTTGCTAAGTAAACCAATTTTGGTATATTAAATTATTCAAACATAACAAAATACAGTCAGACCTCCATAAATGCACTCCATCAGGATCATAGTAACAAAAAAATTGAAATATATATCTAGAGAAGATGTGCACTTATAGAGAGAAAAATGCATAGAAATTTAAAGAGAATATACATAGAGCGTGCATTTATAGTGTGTGTATTGATGAAGGTCTGACTGACTGTACGTATATTTAAGGCTTGGATCTAAGATTGTTGATAATCCTTAACTCACAGTATTAAATTAGGCTTGCTTCAGACTCTACTCTGGATTACTCCAGATCTGCTTCGGGATCTTCAAATTCATAGCCATATTCTAAACTTATTCAGTTGGATCTATCACTACTTAGTGGAAAGAACTTTTTGGTTAACTGATAAGTTTAGTGGATAATCTGGATTTTTTGCGATTTGTAGTCACTCTACTTTGAACTTTTCGTTTGTTAGGTCGTTATGCAATATAACAAGCTTGAAATAATTCAAGATCGATACGTTTTTAAATAATTGGCCTGTTTTCTGCCTTAATATTATGCATCGTAAAATTCGTCTTTTAGAAATGCTTTTGTCGGTTGTTTTTTTTTTACTTTACTGGTGGCAATCATTTCTCCGGCAGTCATTTTATCACTTAGCAGTATATTATTAGTTCTAGCATATATTGTGAAAATACTGTTCCTGATGGATCGTTGGTACCGTTCCTGATAGGGTAGAAAAAAATCTACTGTATTTGCGTACTGTTCCTGACAGGACTTTTAAAAAATTATTCACTATCGACATGGCATAAAACTTTTATAGTGAATTATTTTTTAAAAGCTCCGTCAGAAACAGTACTAGTGATCCAAATCGTTAGCTGAAAAATCAGCTAGTTGACAACTTTCCGACTAATCGATTTGAAACAACTAATTGATTAAATCATTAACATATTCAATTCTATTCGGGCTGATTCTTTAGTTTGATTGGCTAATCAACAACATTAGTCACATGATATGAAAAATCGACTAATCAATTGGCAATTTTTTAGGAGAAGGATGTAATTAGTAAAACCGATACGTAGCGTTTTTTTATTATGCAAAATCAGATTTCACCCTCATGTGATCTGCGTAGCGGATTTTATAAGATTAAGAATTTTATTAGGAACATATATAATTAATTGGTTTTTATTCTATTAGAAACAGTATCCAATGTTGGTTATTAGTAAAATGCCGTAATTGTTAATAAAGTCATACAAACATATCTTTTCCCCAGAAACACTGTCAAGAATTCCAGAAAAGTGCCTAAAAACGTTGTCAAGAAGTTTGCACAATAATTGTCAAGAACTCCTACATTCGTCATCAATGACTCCACACAAACGGCGACATACAAATCTGAAAAACAAAAAAAATAAATAAATAAAAGGTAGAAACAAAAGAAAAAAAGCTCCATTAGACCTATAGCTTGTAACATTGCGATTTGCAACAATACAAATTAAATATTACTTTGCAAAATCTGAAATATGCAATTATTTGTCAATAATAAGCAATATAAAGTGCATTATTGGTACTAAGTTAGTAATTTTAATAATTATTACTAGATTATTTCATTATCAACACTTTTAAATGACTAATAAATTGGTTTAATAGTGATAATTTTAAAGGTCTTTATTATTACTAAAATATTGATAATATATTGCTAATATTAGCATTTTATTAGCATAATAACTGAAAAATATATTTATAAAATTAAATTATAAAATAAATACTAATAAAATAAAAACTTTGCATTTTAATAATATATCATCAGTGCTATTAAAATGCATATTTTTAGCATGTTCAATTTTAACAAAGTTTTTTACAAAATATAATATAAAATTATTAATAAACTAATATATAATAAATCACTTATATTATAATCTAAAATTGTATTTTAAATAGGATGTATACAATAAATAACATAAATAACATTGTTCAATATTATAAAATACTAACCAAAGCCCTAACAAATGGGCACAAATTATCTAAAAAAGGTTCAAAGTTTAATATATTATATATTTAAATAAAATATTACTAATAAAAAAGGCTGCTATTAATACTCTTTACCTTTTAGACATTTTGCATCCTAAGTCTCTGAATAATTACCTTAAAGGTACTAGGCGGAATCCTTAAATATGGGTCTCAAGCAAGCTTTTATAATTTTTTTTTTTTAAAAAAAAATGAATATAAATTAATGCTTCTTTTCGAATCATCCAATCTTTCATAATTGAATTTTATAAACGAGCAACCCAAACCCATGTTGAGTTCATTTTCGAAAAACAGCATAAAAATTTGTATTTGACATATTTAAAAAAAAATGAAGTTTCTTATTGTAGTAGAAAATTTTTAACACGTAAAAAAGAGACATTAAGTTCTTAAATATTTTGTTTACACGTTTATTGTTTTGATAAATGTAAATCACGTACCAAATATAATAATCCACCAAAATTAGATATTGATCTACATATTGCAAAATCGTATTTTTGATATTTTTATAAACCAAGTAACACTTAACCGGACACATATTTCATTTAATTGCGGTTATTTTAGACAAGCTGAGCGCTTTATAATATTTATCGTAGATGAACAAGCTAAAGGTTCATTGGTCGTCAAATCTGTTGTTTCAATGCTCTTACCCAATTCGTGTTAGTCTTCTTTTTATTGTATATTTAAATAAAATCATATAATGTAAAAAATTTTTACTCTGATTTCGTTGATTATAATTCTTAACACAGTTTTGACAAATATTAATTAAATATTGGTTGTTTGGATAATAACTTGTATTATATTCTTTTTTTTAAACAATCAATTCTTGTTAATATTGACTTACTAACGTCTGCTGTGTAATGTACTGTACCTATTATGAAAGCTTGTTTTGTCAAGATCAATAATCTTCACTATAAATTTTCGTAAAGACTAACACTGGATGTGCATCCGAGCGAAAACTTAATTTTGGATGCGTTGACATTGTAGTATCGGTTCAAAATATAATCGCAAAAAAATATCGATATATATAATACGCAACGAAAATGTTTACGTTATTGATGTTATTGATGCAGTTCACTATCTAAAATATTAACTAACCTATCACTAACCTAAGTAAGACCTGCATCAATAACGTAACTATCTCTATCGCGGATTTCACCATCAAAAGTTTATCACTGCCGAAATCAAAAACTTGTCGAATCGACAAATAATTATTTGGTCAATTTTTACGTACCAGATATCCCAAAATTAATGTAAATATCTGTAATAAAAATCTTTAGATCGTACAGACTTATACTATCAGTTTTTATCCATATAACCAACTAGCCTTCAGTGACCTGAAAACCGGTAAAAAAACTTTGTATGCTACTATTCCTAGTAGGATCTTTTGCAGTATAGGATTCATGTCTAGAAATGTGTATGATTTATATAATAAAATATATTATAACATGCTTTTGATTACGCATTATACAATATCTTACTGATTAGCATTTAGGCGGTACCAGTACTCATTACGATTGATCAATACAAAAAAAGATTAGAATGAAATTAGAGCTGAAACTGTCACTTCACAAGAACTTAACGATTTACTTTGATTCACCATATTATGTGTATGGAATATTCTATTGGTTGATATATTTAAAAAATTAAAATTTTGGATTTCCGCTCGCTGACCCGACGAGATATGAAAACCGAAAATATAAGTTTAGGGTTGGATCGGTCCTGAGAAGACCGGTTAAGGACCGATCTTTTTGACCGGTTACAAGGTCTTGTCTTTTAATCAGTTCAGACCGGTTAATAATGAACTATTAAAAACTATTAAAATAAGCTTTTAAATAGTTAAAAACCATTATTGCATGAATTTATTTTGACGATAATAGCTAGAATTGATAATCACTCATATGAAGATGGCTTTTTTGATACCAACGACTGGACCATGGTACTATTGGAATCGGTCTTATTAGAGACCGGGACGGGCCGATCCAACTCTATATAAGTTTGTATGTCCTAAATTTGCTTAAGTTAGGATTTTAACTTATTTTATTATTCAATTTGAAAAATTTTTAGGGCCTTTTTTTTAGGGTTAGGTTAGGGTTTAGGGTAGTTTTATTAATAAAAAAGTATGGGGGCTCCAAATGATTTATTAACTATATATTGTATATTAGTATAGTAAAGTAAGACCACCAAGCTTATACGTATAATCGGTTCTCATATTACCAACTTTCTGACATGGTAGCCCGGATTTTAATTTTTTTTGTAAAAAAAAAAAAATTTATAAAAAACATCATGACACAGGTGCCCGGTAAAAACTTTATATGTTTAAATTTTTTAAATTACATCTAAATTTTACATATACATATATGCATACTCTTATCCAATATCGAGCTAAATCTAGTGGTTTTGGTATAATTAGAGTTGCAAATAGTAACTTACCATCAGATCCAAGTTACCTAAGTCTTTGATTAATTTACTAAATTACATTATAATTAATTATAAATTTGGTGATATTAAATTAAAAAAAACCAATTTAAAAATAGTAGATAGTTAATAATCACAAAATAAAAGCATGTTATCAAGATGATATAGTAATTTACAGACAAGTTACTAGTAAGTTTGGTAACTTATAATAAAAGTTTATAAAGAATAATAATTTTATAACTTTGAATATAATTTGCTAATAGCCATTCTGTCAACAATTTACCTATAGCTAATATTCTAAATTAAGTCAAATTTATACTTTATCAAAATTATATATACTAATAACATCCTGACTAATAATAATCTTTAAAAAAAAATATTATTAACAAATAGTTTAAGATTTGGATCATATAAATTTTTAATTATTTTTATTGCTATACTAAGTTGTTACAAATAAGCGTGAAATATGTTACAATTAGATTTACCCTATTAGTAATATTATATAATTTATAAAGATAAATATTATAGAGATTTATACTTGTTTAAATTTTTTACTAATAAAATTAAAATTATTATAATTTTGTAACCTTTGGTCACACGAACCTGATTGGAAGTCGTTGGCATTCACGGAAATTCCGCGAAACATCTCAATACTACACTTGATCTTAGCAACTTAATTTGGCAACACATTTATCGTTATAATAATGTTTATGACAAACTTCCATAATTTTGGTTCCATGTTTGGTATAGTTCCAAGTCGCGATCGCTAACGCTTGCACGAACTACAATTTATGATTAATTTTATAAATTGTCACCAATTTTTACTAAATTAATTTTTATAATCTCTTTTTGTACGCACCTTGCGTCAATGCGTTTAAAAAATCTTGATAATTTATTGGTCGGACATCATCCGCTATTTACGTAAATTAAGAGTGTAAATACTTTTAATTCACATTAATATCGTCGGTCACTGCTTACAGTACCCACGTCTTATTAAGACACAGGCCGGTAGAGATGATAATACCCAGGTCTTAATCACGGTGGGTATTCTTTCTAGTGATACTAGAAGCAGTGAATCGATGGTAATATCAATTTTAGATTATAAAGTATGAAACCTGAAATCTTTCTTATATCTCCGATTACGCGTATTGGTCCCAGTGCAGCTTCTAAAAGATTTGCCAAAAAAACAATTTAGGCATGAAATAATATTAAATATTTATTTCAGTAAGCTTTTATCCACCTCTACATAGTCCATCCATATCTGACCCAGAGTATCCTATCATGACATAATAGTTAGATGACATGCATGATTACAAAGTATACAGTATAAAATAATAAAAATATAAAGCACCTGCAGTTTTCTCACAAATTTCATAAATTTCTTGATCGGTTAACGAGTGTTTTTGTTTCTGTAATAAATTTTTTATAATGCAGTATCTTCCATCTAATTCTGGTAAAGGAATATAGAGTCTTTTACGAAATCTGCGTCCTTTCAGTACGAAATAAAAAAAAAACAAAAATGACTTTCAAAAGGACGCAATAGAGAAGTAAAAAATCGTAATGAGCAATTTACGTGCAGCTTCATCGATTTCTTGTGGCCTTAATCATTTACAAAATAGAAATATGATTATGTTGAGTGCCAGATTCGAAAATATAACTATAATATCCTTAATTACCTATTGGTTGCCCCAACAATAAGAATTCGATCCTCTTCTAACCCAGCGGTTTTCACACCATCCTAAATTTCTTAATCAGAACAATGAATTGTCTATACATATTCTAATAAAAAACAAAAAAAATACTCACAAATTGAACCAAAAACTCAGTTTTGATGCGTCTTGAAGATTCAAATTCACCATCAGTCCTTTGAGTTAATAAAGAATCGATCTAATTTTCAAAGAAGCATGAATACTATAAATAATGTAGATGTAAAATCAAAGCAAGCATCTTATCTACCTCATCTACGAATACTACAGCGGGTTGATTTACTCTTGCAACAGCGAATAAGGCGCGAACCTAACGAACAAATCTCCATTGTGTTTTATTAAATGCAGTTGGATAATTAAACAAATCATACTTATCATTATATTACCATTTTTTCACCATCGCCAACCCATTTCGAAGTTAGTGATGAAGCACTAGAAAATTATCATCAGATATTTTTTTTTCTTTATTTTTATATAAAGTTGTAAATAGCATTTTCCTACCTTATACTGAAAAACGTTGCACCTGATTGACTTCAATACAACAGTAGAATGTTAGCTGATGCATTTTATACTTTTACATAAACATCAATATATTACCTAGCTATGCATTTGCCAATGAGGGTCTTGCCTATTGTATATTCATGTTATACTATAATTTAAAGCAAGTTCATCTCTTAGTTCATGCCAGACAAAATTTACAAATTTACCGGTCCCTGGAGGTCCAAAAAGTAATAATCCTATAGATATTTTTAATCAATTTAAGTTTTATATTTGCAAGAAGTCGTAAGGTGAATGTGATGAGCAAACCTTTAGGAGGGCCTCTTAACCCTGTAAAAATATCTCTATTAAGAAAAAGACAGTTGTTTAGTTATTATTTTTAAAATCATTAAATAACGGTGTATAACAATACTAACGGTCTTAACATAGGCCATGTAACGGCCTCTTGAATGGTTTTTTTCGCGTGTTCTAATCCAGCGATATCTTCCCAAGAAATGCTGGGAGCACGATCCATAATCTATTAAGACAAAATTCAGAATAAATTTTGCACCCAAGTAACGGACATAAAATAAATATATGACCTCATTTTGGATCATTTCGATCATTTTTGGATCAATATTTTTTAATCTACTATCAATTTCTTGTTCTTTTTCTGCATCACAATATTTTTTATCATTTTTGTCTCTTTTAGATCCAGAAGACGACGAACTATATTTTATAATACAAGCAAATTGTGAATAAACAAACATATAAAGCCTTTTAAACAGTAACAATATTTGCAGAGTCATTACGTACGAATAATTATTTTTGTGCATTTTTGATCCACCACCACCAAGGCTTTCATTTCGTTTCAATAAAGGAGATATGAACCTTCCTCTTTTACTGGGTTGATTCGATGGTCCGATGTCCCTCTTTTTGCAGGCCCCCGGTATATGAGGTTTGTCAACGAAATCATTAAAATTACCGTATGATTGACCTTGATTATATGGTGGGGAAAACCGGCCTTTCTTCTGATTTTCAACCAACTATATAATTCATCATAATTCATCAAAACAACATAAATATTATAAATAAGCATTGAATATAAAAATGATTGTATCGTAATTTATCGTAATATTATACCATTTGTTGTCTTGCGGTAATAAAAGAGCCACGCTGAACCGTAGAATAATCATGTTGATCGTTATCATCATTTATATAATTTACATCCATTGGAATGGTGTCATTTTGAATCATTTTATGGTTTTTTAAATGCTGTGGACCATAATCGAAAAACATGTTAAGCCTATCAAAAAAATCTACTGCATAAAGTTGATATTAAAGAAGACATTTATACTTTTATGATATGTTGCTCGTTGGAGAATCTCCCGTCATATATATTTAAAGGATCATTATCGATATCCATTATATCATTGTTGTTAAATCCAGATAGAGCAGGATTGGTTGTCCGTATATCCCTTAAATGACTAGTTATATCGCGTTTTGGAGGAGTTTTGATAGAGTCAGTGTCAACTTTATCGTCTTTAAACGATGATGAAATGCTCGTATCGTGTACAGCACAATCTTTTAAATAATTAACCAAGAGACTTAAATCAGGTGGTTCCATGAAGTCATAATCATCTTCAGCAATACATTGCTATAAATGAGATTAGAAAAAATCCAATCAAGAAATTTTTAAAATGACAATTCTTTTAAAAAAAATTTAATTACCATATTAACAACATGTTCCATCTTTAATTCAGATTTGAACTCTTTGATATTGCTTATGCTCTTTACACCCTTCTTTTGTGCTTTCTTTAAAAGTTTTTTATTTACTTCATCCTCAATTAATTCAGTCAAATTTACCGTGTTACCACCATTTTCTTTATTTCCAATCCAACATTGGTCATATTTATCCCACACATTATCCATTAAATGCATTGCTTCATGACGTGATACGAAATCAGAATGAGCATTGCTTAAAACCATAAGGGCTTTACGGAAATTCGTTGCAGCATTACGAAGATCATCATAAGCGGTTTTTTGTTGCTCTTGTGAATTAGAAGTCGTGCAAGTTAATAAAAGATATTTTTCACCAGTAAAGTAAAATTTTTCAAAGAAATGATTATTTAATCGATCTCTTTGTTCTTTATTCATAATATAAAAATTTTGAAGAAATATTTTGAATTTATAAATAAGCAGAGTGAATATGATGGTTATTTATTTTGTAATTTGATTTATTTTGTTGATATTATATCTATATATTTACATGTAATTTGAGGCAAATATTTTATACAGTATATTGAACTCTTCTATTCAGAGAATCTATGATTAATAATCACTAGTATCATGTGAGGACGGCCTTTTTAGATCCTATCGTTATGATATAGACTCCGCATTTGTCGATAGAATTCCGTTAGGTATTTACAACTTTCTACATGGACCAAATTGAGTCATCCTGGCTACACCTCTGGATGAAATCTAATAAGATTTTAAACTGTCAACGAAGCCACAAGGTACATACTGTACAAGTTTTGTTTACATTTTTATTTATTAATATCTTATGATTTAGTTCTTTACAACGTACGTATTAACTGCATGTCAGTTATTAGTTTTATATTTTAATAAATTTATTTGGTATTTACATCATCGTTGATATCAAGATCATTCTTTCTCTATTTGAAACCAATAATCAGCTTTCTCTATATCCATTTGTGCTCCAATGCCGTTTCTGATACAAACGCTCAACATTCCTTCATTATCACCCATCTCGGCAGATTTTGATAATAAACGTTCATCCTGATTCCATTCTCATAATAACCAATTCCATTCAATTCACTAGCATTTCCCTTCTTTGCAGCTTTTGACGATAAATGAATGTCTTATGTTCATCATTTTCGATTCCTATTTCACTAAGATAAACGAACCAAATTATTGTTTCTTCAACCTTTTCCATCTCAGAAAATTATTGATAATGCATAAATACTTTATATGTTTATCCGATTCCATCCGGATAACAATAACCAACTTGATTTGTTGTATCGACATGTCCTATCTCTGCGAAATTTCGAATGTTTTATGTTCATACCTTCAATTCCTGATTCATCACGATAAAAAGAACCAACATTATACATTTCAATAACGTTTCCTATATCTACATATTTCTAAACATATTCAAATATCTTATATTCATTTTTTCAATTCCTATTCCATTTTGATACAGAGCCCAATTTTATTTATTGCTTCTTGATAATAAATAAATGTCTTATGTTCATTCTATTCAACACTGATTCCTTCTTGATAACAAATCCCAACTTTCTCTATTACATTAAAAATATCCCATATTGGCAGATTTTTATAATATACTATACAAAAACCAAAATATTTTAATGTGCAGCAACTGTATAGTAACTATGTAGTTACTAGGTAGTTACATACTACGTATTAAGGTATGAACGTTCATCTTTTTCAACATTTGTTCCATTTTCATAACGGTTTTGACGTAAATGATCAATACCATTATTTATCTCGGCAGATTTCTGATAATGAACAAATGCTTTATTTTTTTTCAACACCGAAGCCAAATTGATAAATCCATCAAATGCAAAATAATAATAAAAATTAATAACATTAGATATTTCGTTAACACTTCAATTTTTATAGTATCATTTTTTTTTTATATGTGTGTTAAGCTGGCCTCTTTGGCTACGGATTTTATTAATTCTTGAATCACAGATCCTCTATGAGTATCCGACAGTGGTACATTTTGGCGAATAGTAGCTATTTTATAGATTTAGTAAACGGATTAGATTTATCTTTTTTTAATTCTGTCTTCAGTAATGTGTAATATAATGATTAAAGTTTAAGTCTATTTTTAGATTAGTTCATAAAGTTGATTTATTTTATATTTCTTTCAATCGAAAGGTTTCTCAATCATCTATCAATAGTAATTTCTGATTCGTTACATGCATACTGTAAATATCAGCGGACTTTAAACGAATTGTTGTCGTAGAGGAAGTACTAAGATCAGAATGGGCGATTGTTGTAAAGGAAGAAGTGGCAACAATGTGATTGAACGGTGGTTATAATGGAAGTAGCACTGACATCTAGTTGTGGAATAGTGAAGTTGATGATTTGTTGTATAAGGAATGGTTTACTTTATTGTATTTGTTTTAATACGTGAGAGATTGAACCCAATGGCACGTCCCTCATTTCAAAAATTCTACAGAAAGAAGTATTAATATTACTTATATACTTAAATTTTCAAAATTTAGAACGACACATACATCTATGTCACGTAACTTCCTTTTCGCTTTCCTTCTGCCATGAGAGCTAGGAACGTTAAATGGTTTGTCTGGTCCTGAATTATTTGGGAAATGGAGACCGCCGTATTAATTAGCATTGTATAATCTACTTAGTTTCTCCAATAAGTAATCTCGGATAACAAAATTCAGTAAGCAACAGAGTTAAGTTGAACATATTCCAAGAATATTCACTACCGGAATAGTATTATAATACCATTCAAATATTAAAGATGTTCGGAACATTAGATATGATATTGTGCTAATATTTTTAAAAACTCTTAGTCGACAAATACCTGGCGTTTATCAGTTTTTCGTTCGTCTTTCACGTTTGTTTACTTGATGTTTTTTTCTCTAAAAAATAAAGTCGTGCCTAATCATGTGATTACCGGCCAATCAAGTTGTAAAATTTGTTTAAAAAACAGCTAAGCCTATCACAATACATTAATAACTTCTCAAAACCCTATAAAATCAACTTATTACTAAGCTAAGTTTTTTAAAGGACGAGAATTGGGTCTTATTTTTGATTATAGAATCTTACAGCTCTAATGAAACCTTTTATATGGTTTTTTTTTTACTTTATTATGGTTGGTTTTCATTTTTTTAAAAAGTACTCTAAACTGTATAAATAATGTAAATTAAATTGAATTTATTAGCCAACCAGACGAACTTCTACTGGCTAGGGACACGGAAATTATGAATTTGTTTTAGTGCGATTCTTGACAAACTACACCAAATCGCATAATTACGAATTATTACATATTAATTTTTATGTAATTGATAGCTCTAAACGAACCCAAATCACATAAATTCCGTACAAAAGTTCGGCCTGCAAGATTGCATCATTTGATTCGAATACATAAATAAATTGTAACTCCTTAATCGCCGAAAATTTAATTTTAGAAATTATATTTCATGCGTTCAAATTAAATAATTTTGGGTAGAAAAAAAAACAAATATATAATAAAATAATTTTTAATATTAAGAATTTAATATGACTCCAAATAGTTTGTTGGCTCTTATTTCTTGGATTTTAAACTATCGAGACATATTTAACGACTATATAATCAATAAGCAGTCGAAAAAAAAAATGAAAGAATCATTCATTGATTGACGCCCTTATGAAACCTTCATGTGCTATATGATTAAATAGAAAACATTAAGATAAATATTAAAATTGAAAATTTTAATCGTTGTACACAAATTGTTCTCAAACAAATTATCTTACGCGGTTTCCATAGAGATAAATGCATCCAACGAATTGGAATCATTAGGCAATAACCAGAGCAAAAGTAACCCAACAAACAATTATACAAGAAAATGCAAAAAATTCCAACACAAAATGTTATACGTACCAATTATAATATAATTAAAGGCTAGATTGTAATTTGAAAAAATTTTGCATAATTTTGCATGTACCTGGTTTTGTCACAAAATGAAGACTTTTATATCTCAAAATTTTTGGCTTTTCGTGTTCAATAAAAGAAACTCCTTTCATAATTTTGGCACAAACCTTACTTAAAATCCTTATCTAACCCTATCTAACTCTTGCAAGTTACATAGTAAATTAAATGGTAAAAAAGCAGTTAAAATATGTACACACTTTTTTCAAAATAGTCAGAGTAGAAAATAAATGAACAACTTTAACTTACTGTCAGTTTACCCAACCCTCAAAATCAGCTAATGTAGGCTGATGTTGAACAAAATCTGGCACAGATTTTTTACGTGCAAAAATTTTATATTACGAGAACTCGGAATTTTGGTATCATTTTGCATAGAAATTAAGGGTCCTTCGTTATGCTTCGGACAAATCGATTTTTCTTTCTATCGCAAGCAATATAACAGAATCCGTGTAACAGTGTTTTTAAAGTAGAAATAAACAATGCCTGTATCCTTATTTGGAAACCAATCAGGCAAATGTTAGTCACGCTTGATTTTTTGCGTTTGATGAAAAAACGTGGGTGAGAAACACGTACACGTTATGAATCTGGTTTAAAAACCCTTGATGTTGACTTCGTTCTCTTTGAATCATTTGCAATATTCGCGCCAAGTCATTTTTATGTTTTTTTTTTATATTTTCGTTCCTTTTTTTATATCTCGTTCCTTTTTGTTTTTATATTCTTATTTTTTTTTTCTTATATTTTCGATTTTTATACCTTTGCTTTTTTTTATATCCTCGTTTTTTTCTTACGTTTTTTTCGTTTCGTTTTTATACTTTTGGAACTAAAGATTATTGTTTTATATTTTCTTTAGTCTCATTTACCTCTTTAATTCTTGTTTGTTTTCTTGGTGCACAATATGCAAATGACCTACATAAATCGCTGACTATTAACGACAAACTGCAAACATATATTTAAACTTGCAGTTTGTAACAAACTCAGCTACAATTATTTATTTTATTTTACGCATGTCATTACTAATAAAAACACATGCAGTCCTATCATTTAGGAGGTCATCTATTACGAATATTTTACCGTTTTCATTTATCAACAAACACTTGGTCAATATGTTTTATTCGGTTAGAAGGAACTATAATCAGCGTACAAGCAGAAACGATATAACTACAAAATTTGAAAATTCTTGTTCATAGGGTTCGCAATCCAAATCCACGCGTAATATTAAAGAAATAACGAATTTTATAATTAGGCTTTCTAGCTGACGCGTACGATTTTGTAAAGTTATATAAGTATTATTTTCTTGTCTATAATCCTTCTTTCTTTTTTTTTCACTCTTATAAACTATTAACCTTTTAAGTTTTTGTAAGGATTTTAAGACTTTTAAGACTCCGGTTGAACAACGTAAGACTTATGTTAAGGATTTGAACTACGACAATATTACATTAAGTCATGGTTATGCTAAAATTTTAAGGCTCGATTAGAGCGAATTTTTACTTAATTAAAAATAATCACGGGTACTTGATGGTCCGAGACAAAATCGGTTTAATATATATTCAAATTGTTAACCAAAAAATTGTTATACATTACTTTGCATGTCTTTTCGAATTACCAATTTTTTATTTAATAAAATAAATATTTTATCCAATATATTTATATGTTAAATTACAAATTCAATAATTAAGGATCACGCTATTAATTATGAGGAAATTGACTCGAATTTGGATAAACACGATTTCAAATATCAGTCTACAAATATCGAAGAAAACCAATTTAGTCTATTAAATAAGCTTGAAGAAAAAAACTTAGTTTTTCTTAGACATCTACAAGTTACGGTAAACCTTTAAATGTATAGTCGAGGGGCATATGTGCAGGACCGATATTCCGTCCATGACAAATTATAAACCTGTAATCAAAATTCACGAATTTAATAGCTTATTCTTCGGATTATTTAGGATATCAAACAAAAATTTTGACTCAACCATTTTGTATTTAAGGATACTACATTTAAGATAGTAAAAGTCATAATTATCATATAAATTTTGATCAAATAGTGCCATGGGTTTAAGGTTTTTCGTAGACTACGCATTTAAAGAAATCGCACTAGGGGGTCTGAGTTTTGTAGATCGTCTTGTGATATAGTAAAAATTTTATTGGTTAATCAAAATTTATCGAAATATTTCAAAATTCTAAATCATCACGAATAAAAAAAACTCATGTATAAAATAACAATATCTATAATAAAATTAATACTAGTAAAAGTCTTTACTAAGAAAATTCGATTACTTTAAATCTAAAACTATAATCTTGTCGCAGACAAATTTCCAAAAAAACCAAAATTTTATTAAAAAAAACAATCATAACATACTATCAGTCAAAAAAGAAAAAAAAAATTTCAAAAACGAATCAAAGACAAAAAAAAAAACAAGAAATGTATACTTTAACCTATTATAGAATACTAATAGTTAATAAAAATTAATTTAACCAACATTCATTGTTCGCTCCAATACGTATCAAACTGATCTTTTAATTTTTATATAATACAGTAATCGTTATACAGTTACAATACTACTGCTTCGTTTTAACTTTATTCATAAAATCTATAAACCTTATGACTCAACTTCATATTATTAACCTATATTATAGTTGGATTTTTATATTAGTTGAGATTACGAAAAAATAAGTTCATAAAATGAAAGACAGATTAAATTACCAAGTTTAAGTGATTTACTGTACCTATAAGCTTAAACGTTCAAACATACCTCTCATCTAACTTCTGAATTACTAGTGTTCCGCAAACGGGTACCCGAATTGGATTCGCAGGGGATGTTTAACGTTCCGCTGTCAAGCAATTGGGTAATAATAGAATGTGACTTAATTATTATCCAATCGCTTGACGACGGAATGTTAAAAATCCCCAGCGGTTCCAATTCTGCGGAACACTATGAATTACTTCACGGATTACCGAATTACTTTGACAATCTATAAAACAGGATATATACTTTAAGATTTTTTAGTATCCGGTTCTGCCAATTCGTATCCTTTTTGTAACTGCGAAACGTTACTCTAATATGTAGAACGTTTTGTGTCGATTATCCAATCAAATTAAAGCCTGCTATGTTATACTGTATAATAAAACATAAAACGTAAGACTTAAAAAAAATGTACTAGTACCTGCTGGGGAAATTCGAGAGAGACTGATCGGCCTAAACCCTTTGTCGAAATAGTCAGAGTAGAAAATAAATGAACGTAAAGTATAAGCAAGATCTAAACAAAATTGATGATCAATCTAGACCGAATGATCGCATAGGTTTTACGTGCAAAAATTGTTACGAGAACCAATTTATAAATTTCACAACTACGTTTTTAAAGATGCGTTTTTGGTATCACTTTGCATAGAAATTAAGAGTCCTTCGCTACACTCTGGACAAATTATCGTAAACAATATAACAAATTCGTATAATATTTATTTTTAAACCAGAAATAAACAATGCTTGTATCCTTATTTGGAAACGAATCAGGCAAACGTGAACACGTTTGATGAAAAAAAGGGGCATGAAAACCATGTTGTATATGTTTTATGAATCTGGTTTAAAAACCCTTGATGTTAATTTCGATCTCTTTGAATCATTTGCAATATTCGCACCAAGTCGATAAACATTATTCTTTTTAATAACCTGCTCTATTTTTTATCTTTATTTTTACTAGAGCAGGTAGTTTATATGTTTGGTTTTTTATATTTTCATTTGTTTTTATATTTTCGTTCTTTTTTTTTTATATTCTCGATTCTATATCCTTGTTTTTTTTTGTACCCGTTTTTTTTTTCTTACATTTTTTTCGGTTTTATACTTTTGGGGCATAAAGGGTTATTGTTTTATATTCCTGTAGCTCCATTATCCCTTTATTTTTCTTGTTTGCTTTCTTGGTGTACAATATGCAAATGACCTATATAAATCGCTGACTATTAACGACAAACTGTAAATATATACTTAAACTTGCAGTTTGTAGAGAAAATCAGCTACAATTATTTATTTCATTTCGCGCATGTCATTACTAATAAAACATATCTGCAGTCCTATCATTCAAGAAGTCGTCTATTACGAATATTTTACCGTTTTCATTTATCTTTGTTATTTTTGTTCCAACAAACCACTCAACAATGTGTTTTATTCGGTTAGAGGAGACTAAGCAGAAACGATACAACCATAAAATATGAAAATTCTTTGTTCATAGGATCCGTAATCAAATCCAATTCCACGCGTAATGTTAAAGAAACAACGAATTTTATAATCAGGTTTTTCCAGCTAATGCGTGCGATTTGTAGAGTAATATAAGTATCTTTTTTTTTTGTCTTTAATCCTTCTTTCTCTTTTTTCTGATTCTTATAAAATATTAACCTTTTAAGTTCTTGTAAGGGCTTTTAAGACTCCGGTTAAACAACGTAAGGCTTATGTTAAGGATTTGAACTACAACAATAATTGCATTAAGTCATGGGTATACTGAAATTTTGAAAGCTCGATTAAACCGAATTTTTATTTGATTAAAAGATATTTGATGATTCGAGACAAAAACCGTTTCAATATATTCAAATCGTTAAAAAAAAAAAACCAAAAAAAAAAAAATTGTTATACATTATTTTGTATGTCTTTTCGAATTAATAATTTTTCATTTGATAAAATAAATATTTATTCAATATATTTATCTGTTATATTACAAATTCAATAATTAAAAATTACGCTATTCATTATGAGGAAGTTGACTCGGATTTAGATAATCGTGATTTTAAATATCAGTCTACAAAATATCGAAGCAAATTAATTTAGTCTATTAAATAAGTTTTTAAAAAAAGCTTACATTTTATTTTGACAGCTACAAATTTATAAATTACAAGTTATGGCAAACTGTATAGCTGAGGGGCATATGTACATGACCGATATTCCATCCGTGAACTCCATAATCAAAATTCATGAGTTTAATTTCATAGCTTATTCTTCTGATTATTTTGGATATCAAACAAAAATTTTGACTCAACCACGCTCGTATTTAGAGGGAGTATTTTAGAGGGATATTATATTTATAAGTATAATATAACAAACCAAATATCTCAATGTTTTGTTACTTTATATATCATTTCAAAACGAATAAAGCACAAAATCATTTAATCATACATGAAATTTTATTTCCTATGAAAATTGAATTCTAGTATAAATTGGTTTTAAAGAAAGAACTTCTAATACGAACGTTTAATACGAGTGAAATAGCGATAGCACAAAAATTGACAGTATCGTGACCTCTGAGCTGATCGATGTTCCAAATGTGTGCAATAAATTAGTGTTTTTAAATGTAATGTTTTAAATCAGTTTTATTAAAAAGCTTTTTATGGTTTTAAAATCAAAATCAAGTGACTTAATTATCTTATGTTACGATAATTACAAAACATTCGTGTAGATTTGTGAAATAGAGTTATCGTACCTACGAAATACATATTGTAGAAGTTAAAATCATTCAATCAGATATAGTATTTTCCCTACATAAATCAGTAACAGTAATACTGTATTGGTTCGGAGATCACGATACCGCCAAATTTTGCACCAGCACTATTTCGCCCATTTAATTCTGCACACGTCTGACTAGAATTTAAGAGGAAATTGTTCTAAAAGATTTGTTAATCATAATATCTTGGGGCATACTATCAGTATTTGTAGTGAAAAAGTCCAAGTTTTAACTTCAATATTCAATTTCTACAATTAAGTACACTTTATAATTCTAGAAATTTTTATAATTTGACATTGCACTAAATATCGCAAATGGTCAGATTAATCCTAAGATAATTCTATTCAAATTTTTAAATCAAAAATGGTAATTTAATACCATAGTTAGGTACAATTTTTTAACGAAAATATCTTAGGGACGATCATTCGTAGTATTCAAGAACAATTTCAAATTCTCTCCAGAATTTAAAACATATTCGATTATGAAATTATTTGGATAATTTCTGTGATATGTTTAATTCAAAAAAAATCCAATCAATTATTTGAGTTTGCCGCGCGACATTACATTCCATATACCACGCGATAAAAGATCAACAAAACTTGGCACGGAATTTTCATGCTATGCTATGTACTGTGTTTCTGATCGGGATACTTCAAAGATATATTACATTATAATATCGTCTTTACTGTGAATTTAACACTTATAATTAAGAAATGTACTTGAAAAATTCACTAAGAAATGTTTTGAATTTTTCGTGAATATTGCTAAAGAAAGTTTAAATGAACTTCTTTCAAAAGAGGCTTTTAACGGGCATAATTAGCTGATGATCATGAGCACATCATGATATATTAAAAAAGTCAAAGCTATAATCTTATCTTTAAAAAGTTTGCTATACCTAGTTACCACATCTCTAAATCTTTTAAAGAAATTATATCCAATAATTAACCCAAATTTCTACAACTGAAGAGTAAATAAATGTACAATGAAATAATGATTGACAAAAAAAAAAAAACATCAAACCAAAAAGAACAGTTAATACGTATGTATTTGTTAGTGAATTCTGTTTTTTCAATTTTGACTCAATTACAGCATAGCAAAATATTTTGTTAAAGCAATTTGAAAACACTAAAAATAACTGAAAAAATAACATTGGATTCATTATTAAAAAACCAGAATGTTTAATTTTATAAAGACAAAAATATATATCAACCTGAAATTTATACAGATAAACAATCATACATTTCTCTACGTTTATTTTCTTTGTAATGATCAATCAAACCTTTTATTAAATATATGAATTATTACAGTCAAACCTTCCTAAGTGCCCTTTATAAGTGCACATCCTCTCTAAATTCATACTTAAGTTTGGTCCGAACTCAGAACTTTGTGCACACCTCAAATGCACATAAGTTTTAAAACCAGTATCCTCCGTAAATGCATGCACTTGATATTTGACCAATAAATACAGAATTTATACCCTCACCAAATGCATTCCTTACTTTTGGTTCTATGGACATGAGACTAGAGAGAACTGAGTTAATCACGAATATATTTTTCTTGCTTTTTTGATTGACTAGTTGAACGTTTCATAATTGCACACCACTGAATGCATACTTCCGTTATTAATAAAGAACATTATAATATAAAGAATATTATATCAGAAAATTAGCTATATAATTTGGAACAAAGAAATTTAATAACAAGCTTTTATTAAATCACACTAGTAAAACTATTAAAAAATATATGTGGTGTTGAACATCATTGTGTGATTTAGTACTACGTATTGTTTATCATATAAAAACAATAACATTAACTTATAAGGAATCTTTGTAAGAGATTTAAATAAAATAATTTGTTGCTAAATCAGAATAAATTTTATCAGAATAAATTTTATCAGAGTAAATTTTATCAGAGTAAATTTTATCAGAGTAAATTTTATTAGAGTAAATTTTATCAGAGTAAATTTTATCAGAGTAAATTTTATCAGAGTAAATTTTATCAGAATAAATCAATTTTGCTTTCTAGACTTATTTAATAATTAAAAGTTTACAATAAAATTTCAAGAGTGGTTAAAAATAATACTGAAAAATATTCAGACCCCAAAGTTTGCTTGTTGATTACTTGCGTAAATTTTTCATGAGACTTAGATAATCCTGGCAAGACTTGTTCATTATTTTGCCATTCTATAAAAGCTTCTACGACTTCGTCTGCGAAGGGACGTTTCTTCGGATTTTCATCCCAATATTGTTTCATTAAATTAACATAACACGTTTCCGCACCTTCAAGAATCTTATCAAGAATTTCTTTAATACTTCAAAAATCGGTGGCCTTAGTTTCCTGTGTACTATTTCCTCTTGTAAATGTAATTTAAATGCTTTGTTATAAAATTTAGTCACTGGTATTCCATATAAAATTTCCCACATAATTAATTTACTTTTCCATTCCATTTGTTCTATAGAGTGAAGATTGCTACGTTATTTTAATTACTTTATTTAAAAGAAAATCTAAACCTTTATTACGCCAGTATAAAATAACTTACATCTGGTACCATTAATTGGCTTTTTGTAACTCTCTCGTTACTCCAATTCCATTTTGAGAAAAATATCCAACATTACATATTCCATTAGCGTCTCCCATCTCTGCAGATTTTTGACAATAAATGAATGCCTTATTTTCATCCTTTTCAACTCCAATTCCATCTTGATAACAATATCCAACAGTATATATTCCACTAACGTTTCCCATCTCTGCAGCTTTTTGATAATAAATGAATGCCTTATGTTCATCCTTTTCAACTCCAATTCCATCTTGATAACAATATCCAACATTATACATTCCATTAGCATCCCCCATTTCTGCAGATTTTTGATAATAAATGAATGCTTTATGTTCATCCTTTTCAACACCAATTCCATTATGATAACAATATCCAACATTATAAGTTCCATTGACATATCCCATCTCTGCAGATTTTTGATAATAAATGAATGCTTTATGTTCATCCTTTTCAACACCAATTCCGTCATGATAACAACAACCAACATTATATATTCCACTAGCGAGTCCCATCTCTGCGGATTTTTGATAATAAATGAATGCTTTATGTTCATCCTTTTTAACTCCAATTCCACTATAATAACATTGCGCAACATTATATGTTCCACTAGCATCTCCTATTTCTGCGGATTTTTGATAATAAATGAATGCCTTATGTTCATCCTTTTCGACTCCAATTCCATCTTTATAACAATTACCAAGTGTAAATATTCCACTAGCGTTTCCCATATCTGCAAATTTTCGATAATAAATGAATGCCTTATTTTCATCCTTTTCAACTCCAATTCCATTATGATAACAATATCCAACATTATATGTTCCACTAGCATCCCCCATCTCTGCAGATTTTTGATAATAAATGAATGCCTTATTTTCATCCTTTTCAACTCCAATTCCATTACGATAACAATATCCAACATTATATGTTCCATTAGCATCCCCCATCTCCGCTGATTTTTGATAATAAATGAATGCCTTATGTTCATCCATTTCAACTCCAATTCCATCTTGATAGTCGTTGTCAACTAAACTCATTGCATCAGAATCTTCCGTCTCAGAAGCTATTTGTGCAATAAAGGACATATCAACAGATCTTTGAGAATGAATATTGCCCATTTAACAAAAGATTATTCTAACTAAATATTTGGCGGACAATACTCTGAATACAAATTATATCTATATATTTTCAGTAAGAATTTTGGGAATAATTTTAACAAAATAGTTTATATTTCTACGTACATATAAAAATCGTAAGTTACATTTATGGAAAATTCTTAAATGAAGAACTAAAAAGTAAAAATCATTCAGCCATAATTCTTATTTGGCAACTGACAATTAGCATTTAACAAAGAATTTTGTAAATTAAATGAATAACCGAAAATAGTAGTGTTGGAGCCGGTTTTATTTTTCATATGTTACACGGGTTTAAAATATTAAAAGGAAAGGATCGGAAAATCAATTTTTTAATAAACCATGAAAATAATAGATTTCAAAAAGCTATACTGCAAATACATCTGATTTTGTATCTTAATAAAACATGATCCTATGCAAAAAAAGAATTGAAAAATTTGTCAACTTTCTTTTTGCAGCACCTAGTCCATATAAAAAATCAAACCAGTTACAAACTCTAATCCCAAACATTGTGACAGCTAGAATTTAGTGAATAATTTGACTGTAATATTATTTTACAATAGTTAAAAAATTTTTTTTTAAAAATAGCCTATGCATTCATACTAACAATTATTTTTTAAAGCAAAAATAAATACACCGTACGGTGTAAATCATCTAATCTCATCAAATGTGAATAATTATAAGGAAATAATTTATGACTCATAACATATACATTCCAGAACAAATGCTACGTAGTAGTTTCTATGTAGAGTTTACACAAAAATAATATGAAAGGGTGAAATTCGCGCAGAGATGATAACTTTCTTGATGCAGATTTATACTTAATTAGGGCTAGTTACTATTTTAGGTAGGATTTGCGTCAATAACGTAACTATTCTGCGCGGGTTTCACCCTGTCGTAAAATAATTATTCAATTTTATTATCGTATATGTAGCAAAAAGTTTTGACATACGAATTTGAATTTATGTGTCATTCTATTCTTTCACCATATCTACGTATAAATTGCAAATCAACATAATAAAATATTCTATTTGCACAATTTAAAAATTCTTCATACAGCAATGAATTGAATAAAATTTATTTTAAGTACTCTTTAATAAATGCACCTAATTAACCCAACTAAAAAGAGAATCGGATTTTACAATTTAACGCCATAACGATACGTCGCCATACCCTATCACGTAACCAATTATATTAATAGATTTACGATATATTGTAATAATAACTTTATTAAAAAGTTCCAATAGATACTAATACATCTATCCCAACTTATTTAACCCTAACCCAATCTAAGGATGTACTCGACCATCTCATCTAATAGATTGAATGCAAAATTTTTAATAAGCCAGAATTTAAGACGAATTAATCCTACGTATAAGTCAGTAGTGTACAAAGATTATATCATAATTTCAGCAATTCTTATAACACTTTAGACAGAAATCAATGATATTTTTAATAATATTATTGAGAATTGTTTAAGGATCATGTTCAATTTGTAGTAACCTCAATTGTCACGATAGATCAGAATTAAGACTCTCTGATCTAATTTTTATCCTACTTCGGCAGTGCACCAACCCGACACACATTTTCTGAATACAATTTTCACTAGTAGAGCTGATCAAGCACGTTTGTTATTAAGATAAATAAAGAGCGTCCGGAAAATGTGCGCTGCCAAGTTGGTATGCTACATAAAACGCCTTTTTCTCGTCCTTAGTTGTAACTATACCATTTTTCTAAAATACAACATTAGCTTGACCATCTAAATTTTCACTAAATACTGCTCAAATTCCTTTGTTTCATACTTGCCTATGCTATTTTTCGTGGCAGAATCCAAAATTAGCTTATCTATCCGAATTACCATTTTAGCAAATTTTAAATGCCGTTTTTTCGTCCTTGGCTGTTTTTATGCCATTTTCATAACAGAATTCAATATTAGCTTGTTCATCAGCAACTTCAAATACTACTCAAATTCCTTATCATATTCGCCTATATCTACACAGTTTTTGCGGCAGAATCCAACATTAGCTTGTCCATTCGAATTACTATTTTAGTAGATTTCAAATACTAATTAAATGTATTTTTTCGTCTTTTGCTGTGCCTATGCCGTTTCCGTAACAGAATTTAACATTATTTTGACCATCTGAATTGTCACCAGTAGATTTCAAAGACCGCTCTAGTCCCTTTTTTTATGCTTGCTTGTACCTACACTATTTCTATAACAGAATCTAATATTAGTTTATTTACCGGAATTACTCCTTTAAATACCAATCAAGTGCTTTTTTCGTTCTTGGTTGTGTATGCCATTCTATAACAGAATTCAATATTAACCTTTCAATCTGAATTGTCACCTAAAGATCTCAAATACAACTCAAATTCCTGTACATATACTAGTTCTGAGTCAGAATCTAACATCAGCTTGTTCTTTCAAAGCAAAAGAACAGGTAATAAATAACTCAGGTCTTAACGTAGCAATATCGAAGTTTTTATAATTAAAGCCCTTGAAATTTTGCAAAATGGTTTTTTGGAGGCTATAAAAGTTCGGGATCAAATGTGATCAAGTGTTCCACCAACTTTCATTAGAAGCGGTTCTGACAATACCGGTATTTAGTACGGTAGCAATATTATTGTATTATGTATTTTAATACAGATGTTTCGAATTTCACGTGAGCAAGATTAGATGATAATCAATCGTTTCACTAAATACCATAAAAGTATCAGTGACGCAATTTTTCGATTATCATGACTTAAAATAATCACGTTTGTTTTTTTTTTTAACAAAACAATAAATATAAAAATTATATTTCGTTATTATTTTTCTTTACGTTTTTATCGTTCGCCTCTACCTTTTTTACGCTTTCACTAAACAAAAACCTTTATTATATATATTATGTATAACATATTCTTTTAGATAGTTTCTATTTTATTTCGAAAAACACTACGTCGAGATCGCCGGATACATACAAGGTTGTATGTATCTTTATGCGTAGGTTTCAGGCTTCGTAGTTTTTGGTGCTTTAGGAATAAAGTAAGTATTTTTATTATTAGTTCGAAGTTGTAAATCCTCAGGCTACCTTTCTATTTGTGTTGGCTGCCAACTAGACGGATTAAACATGGACGGAACCAACCTTCCTGTGTGGGGTTGGACTCCGGAGGAAGTGATTGTCAAGACGGTTGGTTCTGCACATAATCGGTAGTTTGATGTAGTTTTCTGGAATAAGATCTACCATTTTGTAAAATTACGTTAAGAGGAAATGGTTACGTTCCTTTCTTATTCTGTAAAGGAAAACTTTGTATACTGAGAACTAAAATAAATTATTGTATTTATTTGGTGATCATTTTCATTAACAATTTTTTATTATTAGAAAGTCTTTGAAAGTTTTGAAATCTTTTCTAAAAAGATTACGACGTTTCCGATTTTTATAAAAAAGATTTTTTTTGTTAATATAGATTAATTTTTTTAAGAGATATTTTTATTTACGATGCATGTAATTTAGTAAATTTTTTAAGTAATCGAAATCGTTTAATAAAACATGTAAAGTGTAAAAAAATAAAACCAATCAAAATTGTATTATTGTGTATCTTGTTTAAGTGTTATCGAATCAAATTTCGTACCAATCTCCAAGAGCATGAATGAAACGATTTACTTTCTATTAAAGAATAGTTTTAATAGTCAAAATCTATAATTTTTTGTGAAAACCCCAAAATTTTGGGCCAATTCGTTCATTCGACTTTGCTAGATTGTATAGTCGCATTTTTGCCAGATTAAAAATTTTCCTACGTTGTTAAATCTCTTAAGGTGATAAATAAACTTAGCGTTAGATGTGATCACAATTTTTTTTTGTTAGTGTTATTAAATTACTGTGGTACATAATTTAAGCCAAAAAAATTAGGTTAATAATAAACTTTTCAAGACACGCGTTAGTTATATATTATCGTTAAAAATTTAAGAACTGAAGTCAACTATCAATTTGCTAAGCCAATTTCAATATTAAAACCTGTACTAATTTGATACATGCAATGCCAGAATATAATTAAAGCACTAGGTAGTTACACCTCGTGATGCCGTAGAATCGTCCCAGTGATGTTACGGCTTAAGCCAGCTAAAGCTTATGTCGTAACTATTATAGCAATCATTCTACGACATCACTAATTACACCATAGGTACATTTGTTTTTTATTTATGAAAATGATACGATTTACGATATTTACGATTATAAGAAAAAATACTTCCCGAATTGCGTGAAACTTAGCTTGATTATTTTTTTTGCCATTATATGAGTGCTACCAATTAAACACATGCTTTGAATTTTTAGTATGTCGAAATTTAATCTATAAAAAGCTTCAAGTTTGGATCCTATACGATAAATTTTAAAAATTACGAGGAAAAAGCATATTGCGTTTTACATTTAAAGATTAATTCGAATCGCATGTTGCATGCTAACTAGATTTAATGGTTTACTATGATCGGTAATATTTAAAATTCATAGATTTATAAAATTATTATATAACTATAAGAACATTATATATATTAAAATAATAGGCACAATAGTGAAATTACTGCATGGTCAAAATGGTCTATAGGTTTTAGCAACATGATAATTAATTATTAACCTAGGTTTGTCGAAATATGAAATTACCTCCACAATAAAAGCATTTCTCACAAGTTTCAAAAATTGCCTTCACAACTATTGATGACGCAATAGACTGCTCGTCCACAGAATTATCCATTGAATTATAAGGATCTGATGCCACCAAGATTTTACGATTACAATTACTACAGGATCTCACGTGCTTATCTGCCACAATGCTTAAAGTTATAGAGCAAAGATCTGAAAAGATATTGAAAAAAAGAAGTAAATAAAAATGATTTAAATAAAATAACCGATTTTCATTATTTTCACACACTATATTACCCCAAACATGTCCTTTGGTACATCTGCCTGTTGGACCTCGCATGAACGATACATGTATTAATTGAATTAAGAATACAATAATAGCTTTTATGTTAAAATTAGTAGAATTAACCTCGTAATAAGAAATCTAATAAATTTTAAAGGATATTTGACTGACATGCAGGACATGTTGCTCGTGTTGGTGTCTTTTTAGTTTTTTTGTTTTTCTTAGATGAAATCAATTGTGACGTCCAAGCTTGTTCAGTTTCCAGACTGCCGACTATCTCAACTTTCTCTTGTAAAGTGCTCAAGTAGTCATATAAAAACTTTGCCAATTTTAATAACTCATTGTCATCACTGAAGTATAATAAGATCCAGTCGCACCAATAAACAACGAATAGTTGATCACGTTCTAAAAAAAAACAAAAAAAAACAAGCAATTACTCTAATAATACAATAATACAACACATTTCAATTAGTAAACTTAAAACCTTACCACTATTAATTACTACTCCACATTTAATACAATCTACAGTCGTGGACAGAACTTGTTTTAAAAAATATTTTTCAATTCTTTTCAAACAATCTTCAAATGCAGGGCTTAGTTGTAATTGAAGGCCTGAAGGAGCTTCTAAACGCTTCGATATACATTTGCCATATTTATTAGACAGATATATATGGTTCCTATACTAATTAATGATAATCCTATACTTACCGTAGTGCTATTATAAATGTGCACGAGCAACCGAAGGGCATTTAAAGAACGATTTCTATAAAGCACATTTTTCCATTTCATTATAATGCCAATTAAAGAAAAATCACTGTGTTCAAATTCATTAAATAATAATCAAATATTAATCAGCTGTTATATTGTAGACCTTTATATAAACAAGGTATATTTATTGTTCTTACGTTAAATCTTCTGTATTAAATTCAGTATTATCTGACAGTTCGCCAATTGAAGATGATGCAGTGTACTTATTATAGCAATCCCAACAGGCTTTGTCCAATTGATGAAGCAGTGAGTTATTTTTATCGAATTCATTTTCAAGGACACAATATTCCAATAAATCCCACATAAGATAATTTGTCGATTTTCTCTCTACTGTAAACAAATTTTATTTATTGCATTAGCATCATAAATAATATGTCAATTTGCTATAGCAATGCTTACAAATATATGCGTCTTCGAGCATGTTTTTAAGTCTCGTGACCAACGAAGGTACGAGCTCACTATTTGATTGTTCTTCACTTGGGCAAAAAGTCACATAAGAAACTTCAAATTTATCAGTAACATATAAAGCATCAGGCGACTCTAATCTAAATTTGATAAGTTTGTGAATAAATGTGTTTTGGTTGCCATTCCAGAAATTTCAGAAAACAATTATAAAAATTAAAAGCTCACGCAAAAAGAACAGCAAAAAAAAGACTGTTGCCAGAACCATCAGCCCCAAAGTATATGGGCTCAACTTCTGATAGTGTCATGTCATCATTTCCCACATTTTCATTTGAAAAAGATTCTTCATCAAATTCTTCATCTTCATCCTCATCCTCATTATCCTCATATTGTAATTGCCACTTCGTAGCCAGGACATCATTGATATATTTTGTTGTGAATTCATTAATATCAATCTCTGTTCCTGAGATGTCAAGCGTTAGATTATTACCTTCATTATTGAAGATATACAGTTGAGTTCCATCATAATTCCAAATCATCGCTACTAAAAAGATATATCTCAGAAGATCAAAGAAATAAAGATAATAAATAGGATAAAACTTTTATGTGTAATGAAATGTACCTATTGTTCCTTTAGATAAAGGAATTTTGAACATTTTTGGAGGTTCTAAATCTGTATTAATTAAAGGCAATCTGGTTGATGTCCAAACATAGATCTTGAGACCTTTAACTATAGCTAACCTTTCTCCTGCATTCTAATATCCAATATTATTTGATGTTGATATATATATATTTATGCATAAAAAAATGTAGACATTGCAATAGTACATACATTACACTCATACCATTTCATTATTGATGCAGGTCGATTGTCAGCCTGAGAAAGTGTCGCATGTAGAGTGATTGATGCTTGTAGCTTTATATTTTCTATACCCGAAGATATAACAGGGATTAATGATATAGTTACTCTCCACATATAAACCGAACCGTCATCTGATGCAGTCACAAAACTTGATACATCTTTATCATAAAATCACAAATATGTTATAGTTAATGTGATACTAATAAATTGCTTCCTAATGAATTGAGGTCATACATTGATCCTGGCCTAATTCGAGCCAACGCGACCAAGATGATGTTATAACCCAAGAGACATGTGGTTGCATTGTTAAGATATGATCTAGTCCATTTTTATAACTTAAGTCATAAACAAAAAAAATTCAATTTTAGCAGAAAATATTAAAGAAACTTTAGATAAAAATCAAATGTATACTTGCCTCCACAATGTTACAGTACCAGCCTTACTTCCTATTGCTATTACAGAGAAATGGTCAAAGTTTTTTGGAAAACACAAAGGAGACCAAGATACGGCTGAAACATTGGAACAAATAAATGTATTAAAATATAAATTAATATGAAGAGGTAATGCTTATAGTTATATATAGAAAACATACATATGGATTGCAGCTTATTCAATAGGGTCACATCAGTTATATTTTCAGAGTTCTGATCTGTGTAATGCTGCAACAATCTAGGTGACATATTCTCAACCTATCATGTAATAAACTGAATAGCTAACTTTGAAAGACATGTGCTAAAAAAAAAGACCATTGACTAAATTATAAAATACCTCTATCCAATCCCTCTGTAAAGGACCATCCTTAGGACCATATATTGCCACATGAAATCTTGATGTTATTGCAACAAATAAACAACTGCGTGTAGATGTAAAATGAGCATATGAATAATCAATTTATCGGCATTATTATTTTAAACATAAAGAAATTGAACAAATACCTTTGAATAATAGAACAACCTATTGGAGACCAAGTAAAGCATTTGAAAACTTCTGGTATATCTTTTATAAGTGTGGAACTAAAATCTGAAATTTGATGAGAGGATCAATAATTTTTGTATACGTAAAATAATCATCACCATGAATGAAGATTACCATTAATCTTGATAGGATTTCGATCACTAGAATCTTGACAGATTACTATAGCATCACGGGTATATCTACTTCTATATGATGGTATCTATATAAAAATAAGACTAATTATAACGATAACATTCTGAACTTCGTCATTTTATTGATACTTACAAAAATATCTATGCCTGAGGGTGATATGACCGAAATGTGATTCTCTTTAGACCATTGCAGACAATTGATGTTAATTGGTCGCGATTTTATATCAACGTTATTCAATTCCATGTTTTTCTGGAATTATAAAAAAGAAACAAAAATATTCAGATGTTTTTATAAAGTAATTCCGGTATTACAATGGATCGGCAAGGTGTTACCCAACCCATTAGATTTTATAGATAAGAAATTATAATATTAAAATTTATTGGTTATTCTCTCAATAAAACCCTATATAAATATAATTTTATTTGGGTACTAATTTAATTCTGAAAATTTTGGGTATTCCACGAATCGGTCGATATGGTATAATATTTTCATGCATATTCAAGTATATAATCTTTGACAGTGAATAACTAAAATTATCGTCTTTATACATAAGACGATTCTAAGAGCACAAAATTGTTAAACTCCAATTACAAAATCCTGAGATCATTGAATATTTGTCTTTTTAAATAAAATTAAATATGTAAACATGCAAATTTTCATGCACAAATCTTTATGATATTCGGGTCCCGTGATTAGATTTTACCAATCTTGCGCTCGTTAAAATCGTCTCATCGAAACGATCATCTTGGTGGTTAAATCATCTAAAACGGACTAGATCATATTTGAGCGGTTATAATATTAAAGCTGACCATCTTCTTTATGTTTAATAAAATTCATTTGTTATATTTTAATTAAATTATTTTATAAAAATCTATATAAACTTTTTTAAAAAATATAGTATAATTAGGGGTATTACTAGTCTGGTTTGGACCAATAGACCACGATCCATCATAGGACCGGTTCGAAACCGTAATTGACCGGTTTCCTACAGTCGAGTTTAACTCCAAGTAATCTTAAAGATCAGTGTTGACAATTGGACAATTTGACAATCAGGCAATTTAAATGATACCTAAAATAGTAACTAACCCTAATTAAGTATAAGTTACAAAAGCTGGAAGTGAATATTTAAGTTTTCATCATAGCGAGTTTAGCCCATTTAGTCTTGTAATTAACCATGTATATAGTCGTTACTGAACCATCAAAACATCATTTATCAGTACGTAATATCGAAGTTCTTCAGGAGCTAAATTCGTCATGATGAGAACTATTCACTTCCAACTTTTCGCTCCTTTCATATCTGGGAGTTTGTGTAACGAACAAATTTATAGGTAAACAAACTGAAATGTACGTTAAAGTATTTTTAACCTTGTGATTTTTGAAAGAAAATATTTTTTAATAAATAGAAGCAAAATCGAGGGTTAAATAATTGATGATATTTTACGAACTTATGGTTGGAATTTGAAAGTTTTTATAACATTCGATTCATTTTAATGAGATGAATCGAATGGTATGAAAACGATTAAATTGTAGTCATTATGTTGCGAGATATTTTCTATAGTAAAATAAATATTTCAAAGATCTTTTAATTTTCAAATTCGGATGGGGTGTGTAACGAAGGTTAAGAGACGGTAATGATAGAGAAAAAGTAATCATAAGATTATTTATTTAGCATATGTGCTAATCCTTTTCTGTGTATTTCGTTTAGTCGCGCATATTCTTCCATTACTGATTTGTTTGGTCTAATGGCGTTAAAATCAAAGTTAATGATGTTAATGATTCCCACGTAGGAGCTCTGCTCCTTGCGACGTAGACTTGACCTTCCGCGAATATTTTGTGGTCTACATTTATCATGGTGATTTATCATGGTGTGAGGTAAGGTTAATCCTTGGGTCTTGTGGATTGTGAGAGCAAATGCGTTTTGAATAGGAATTTGACTTCTAGATGCTGGTTTTCATTGATGTTAAAATAGGATGTTTCTTTTTGTATGTTTAGTTTGATGATGTTTGTCATGGTTAGAAATGTGACTTAATGGTTTGGTCATTTATTATGCTTGTGACTACGCTGATTGTACTATTGCAAATATTGTGATCAAATAGTTTTTTAAATATATTTCATAGTTGTAGCATTGAAACAATATCTGAGTTGAGATTACATCCTACTGAAAAATAGAGTGTTGGGTGTTAGAGAATAGTATAAAAGATATATTAAAGTAGCAATAATTAAATAATATAGTTTGAAGTAATATATAATATAGTCTTTCTTTTTATGTAAAAAAAAAAAAGTAAACAATAAATAAAAATATTTAGAATCAATTTCTTATTTATGAAAGTACTTGATTTTTAGAAATAAATTGTTATAATTTTTCATTAAATTTTACATTTTGTTATTTTTGTATTTAAGTATTTACTAAATCAGATTTACAATAATTTAGTCAAATACTAGTGCAAATTTACTTTTTTTTACATTTAATGTATTGAAATATATTGATTAAATTGTTATTATATATTTTAAATGCTACAAGTCTCTATGCATTAATTGTAATGCTTGGACTACTTTAATTAAAGATAAATGATGTTCTTATATTAATCATGGATAAATTATTAATATAAAGCTTTAATTAACTAAATTATATTAGTAATAATACTAGAATGTATAGTGACTAAAGGTTGGATTTAAATTTAAAAAATTCACCATTTTTATATAAATTCAAAATTTTTTTTTATAATATCAAATTGTAACTTGAATTTTATTAGCTTTTTGCATTACTATTATATATAGTTATATATATATTTGTGCTACTATTTCTAGACATCTAATATAATATTATATTTACATTTTTTTATATTTTATAACCTTCACTATGTATTACAATTATTGTTACTAAATTACTAAAAAAGCTATAAATCATCTTGTTGTACCTTAATTTTCTCTTATTTTTAGCCTAATAGCAGCCTATCTGTCTACTATTTGCAATAATTTTTTCTTTTTTTAAATTAGTTAACTTATGTAGTTTCTTGTTCTTGTTGCTATTAATTGGATATATATAGCCTTATATATTTTTTAGTATTCTGTTGGCATAGCTAAACTTATCAAAATCTGAATTACCAATTTGCAATTTATTATATATTTTTTTTAATTATACTTTTATAGTTAGTTTAATCATATATATTTTTTGTAATTTTTTTTACAAATATATTATTAATTATATAATTAGCTGAGTATTGCAAAAAGGCCTAAAACCTTAACTTATTGTATACAGATATAGTGTTAATCTATAATTTGTTATAACCTATTAGTTAATTATAGATTATAATCTTATTACTTATTATAACTTATAAAAATTACTATTGAATTATAATCATCTTGATCATATAAATAAAATATAATTTAAAATAACTAATACTATATATGTATAATATTCATCATTTAAGTGATAATATACAATTATCTCAATAAAAATTATTAAGTACCTTAAAAAAACCTATCTAAAATGTTCTAAGTTTGATTAAACTAATTTTTTATTATAACTCTTCTTTATATATATTACATTATCTATTATTTTAGTTTTAGCTATACTGTATTATTTTCTAATTAAATATTCTGCAAATTGGATACAAAGATATTGATACTGTCTATATATAAAAATAAAATTATTTTAATAAGAATTAAATTTGAAAACAAAATTATTTTGATCTACTTTTACTTAAAAAATAAAATTTTTTAATATTTTTTTTGAATAAATAAAATTATAAAAAATATAAATATATAAATTAGATTTGCTTTTTTTTATAAAAAATTTTAATTTGCTCTAATAAAAATAAAATAGGTTTTTTTTGAAAACTTATTTTTATAATATATATAATGCTGCTCTATTTAAAAAGTTATGCAATATTGTTATATAACTAAATCTTCAGTAATGCTACTATTATATATAGTGCTTTTTCTCTGCAAAGTCAATCTTTTTTTAGAAATTTCTAATTCATTTTTGTATTTTATCTTAAAACTTTTCACAAGGCTTTGCATCTAATTTGCTTTTATTTTTAAATTACAGAGTTTAAATTCTAAGATTTTACTTTTAGTCTAACTTAAACTGTTGATTTAATTTGTAAGAAGTTAACAACTTTAATATTAAGTTATAGAGCTGATTATCTAAAAAACTTTATACTATACAAATATTTAATTTTTAATCTTAATACTATATATAATATTAAATCTGTATAGTACAATTTTTAAAATAATTATTAATATACTAATCTATATAATTTAAACTTTGATAATATTTATAACAATATATAATAATAATTAAAAATTTTTTTAATAATTATATAATTATTAGCAAACTTTTTTTTTTTTAAGTTTAAAAACTAATATATATAATTATTATAAAGATTATTATTTAGAGATTGGACTCTATAACTTAATAATTAAACTGCTAATTCTTTACAGATAAGATTAACAATTCAAGTTAGACTGAAGGCAAAATCTAAGAATTTTAAACTCTATAATCTAAAATAGAAGTTAAATTAAATGTAAAGACTTGTAAAAAATTCTAAAATGAATATAAAAATAGATTAGAAATTTTTAAAAAAAAATTAATTCTGTAAAAAAAGGTACTATGTATAACAGTAGTGTTATAAAAAATTCTGTTATATAATGTATTATGCAAGTAAGTTTTCTAAAAATAAAGCAACACTAACATCTTTGTATTCAACTTGCAAAATACTTAACTAAAAGTATAATATTAAATATAACTAAAACTAAAGTAGTAAACAAAGCAGTATATACAAAGAAGATCTGTAAAAAAAATAGTTTAACTATAATTAAAATATCTTAAACAAGTACTATAGAAATCTTAAAAAAAAACAGAATTAACAATTGCATATTACAATTTTAATAATAATTACTATATCTGTATATTATAAATCAAGGTTTTAGATGTTTTTGCAATACTAGATTAGTAGTATAGCAGTACAAAGTCAGTATTTGCAAGACGTATAAGCATTCAAGCTACAACTAATACTAATTATAAAAATATACAAAAAATGTACATAATAACTGCAAATAAACAATCTAGTATCTAATAAATCTAGTAAAATAGTTGGTTAAAAGAAAATTAATAATACTAAATTAGTATATTAAGTTAGTAGCAAGAAAAATAAAAAATTACTAAAATTAATTAATTTAAAAAAAAAAGAAATTATTGTAAGAAGTAGACAAGAAGATTGCAAATAGTTAGGTAAAGT